TCAACAGTCTTACATTACATTTAATCTTTAATTATTGTTAGGTACATTAAACGTACAATTTGTGCTGTTGTTTCCTATAGCAAACCGAGGCACGTGGCGCAGTGGATGCGCTCACCGATGCTATTCGGAAGGTTGTGGGTTCGAATCCCGCTGCCGACTGCTCTGTCTGGGGTTTTCCTCAGACATACGTAGCTTCGCATAATGCTAGCATTATGTTGAAATCTACGAGGCGAATGCTGGAGCAGTACTCTCCCCCTCAGCACCCTAACTCCGTTCCTTCCGTTCCAATCCCTAACTTTACCCATCCTTACAATCCCGTTCTCTGGCTGAAGAGGGCCAGGAAGCCCTGAGCAGCCCGCCTCCGGTATTCCTGTAGTCAGGGGTGCCGGAGGAATGAAACACGTTTTCCTTTTTTCCTATAGCAAGACGCTCATACAGTCATAAAGGAAGTTCAAAGCTAGTAAACTACATCAGACACATGCACATTTTTATGAAATTATTAACTTCAATTTTGACAAATAAACTGGTTACCTAGTGATGTACACCATACCACTTCGATCATTTCGATTTATTCTGCTCGTTAATTTCTTAGTGCATATTTATATTGGTTGCATAATTTTAATTTCGATCGCGCAAAAAATGTTATAAGCATACGTCGAACGTTAATGGTTACCGTTCTCAGACAATAATTGGAGTCGTCGCTTCGCTCCTCCTCCAAACAATTGTCTTCGAACGGTAAAAATCCCTTACCGTTCTCCATACTTAATATACTATTTACAGGCACGTTAGTGACGTCAAAATAGATACTGTCGTCATTGACGTGCCTATTATTTGAAAATTGGCGCCACGTCATACGGATAACCTACAAGTAAAAATAAATAACAATAAATGTCTAACCTCTGTTTTGTTTATGTTAGGGCAGTTAGGGTGATCGTGTACTTTAAACATGGAATCTTGCGTTAAAGGTACTTTAAGTAAAGCAAGTGGGGAGTAGATATAGGTAGGTGTACATTCTTGTTCATTCATATTATTTTGTTTAGATAATGACACTGGGCCTGCATCAGCAGCAGTAGAGGACTTTTATATAGGTCAAAAGTTTGATTCATATAAAGCATTATGCGATTATATAATGAAGTATGAAAAGTCCAAGAAACAAAAATTTTCAAAAAAACGTAGTCGTACGATAGCAGGAGCTTCAAAAATTCTAAAAAGACCTTTAGACCCTGCGTTAGCATATTATGAACTACATTATGCTTGTGTTCACGGTCAAGAACGGCCAGCAAGAGGAAATGGATTAAGGCAAACAAAGTAAGTAAGTAGTTTGTTCCTCTACGCTAATAAATAGAGAATTGTAGTACTTTACGACTGGAGTGTCGGGCGCATTTTACTTTGCGAGCGTGTTCCACTGGCCAATATTTGGTTATACAAAGTACAAACTTAGAACACACGAATCATGAGATGTCCACGGTATTATAGAATAAGGAAATTACCTATACCCATGTATTTATCCCTTATTGTAGACTTTTTTTGATCATTTACACTGCAATCGTGCCCTAAATGAGACTGAGACAGAGGATGTTGCCACTTATTTATCTTTGGGAGCGAACAAAAAGAAAATTCAAAATAAAATATTAGCAGACAGTGGTAAAAAGACAACATTGAAAGATATACACAACATTTATTCCAAAACGATACTCGGACGGAACAACTTAGTTGAAGCAGTTCATTTGCTAGAAGATAAGTATTGTAAGTGAATACTATCAGGGAGAGTTCAAGTATTACGGAACGTGTTAAAGGGTAGGTGGCTAAAAGTGTTGAAAAACTGTTAGTGATATTTGAACGCTCCGTTATTGATAATTACGTGCAGCTATGGTACACCTCCATGCATGTATAGCTAATTATTTATTCATGTTGAACAGGTTGCAATGTCCATCTGCTTTGTGATGAAGAACAGCAGTTTAAAGCTCTACTGTTTTCCACAGAAAATATGAGAAATGCAATGAATGCATGGCCAGAATTTGTCAGTGTTGATGGAACCTACAAATTACTGAATATGGGATGTACACTCTTCCTGTTTGTGGTGGAAGACTCAAATGGACAATCGGTAATTGCATCTGTCGCTCTTATTGCTGTTGAAGACAGAGATGCATACCATTGGATTTTTAACACTTTCAAAAACGAAATGGAGACTGATGGAATCAAGTGTTAAAGGGGATAAAGATTTCGTGGAACGTGATGTAATAAAAGAAATCTTTCCGGGAGTACCAGTTTATCTCTGCTTATTTCATACTCTAAAAACATTTAGACGAGAGATAAATTGCGATAAACTGGATATATCCAAAGAGGAACGCGACTTATCCTTAGAATACCTGCAGAAATTAGTGTATATAAAAAATGCAGCAGAATATGACTTAATGTACAAACAATTTAGTGAATGTGTTCCAAAAAAAGTTTTGGATTATTTCAATAAAAATTGGCATGGAATTTGCAATGAATGGCTTGTTTTTAACATGACAAGTAGTAACATGAATAATACAACAAATAACAGAATGGAATCTATTAATCAGAAAATTAAACAAGTTGTATCCAAAGATAGCTCTCTCCTAGATTTTATAAATACTTTTTTTGTTTTTTTGGATTCTCATTATCAAGAGCGAGACGCTATAGCGGCCAAACACTTCCTCAAAAAATCTCTCCAACGATTTGAAAGTCATAAGGAAGATATGGAAGCGTATATGAGCTTATTAACAAATTATAGCTTTAATTTTGTGCAAAAACAAATTACATGTATGCAAAAAGTTAAAATAATTGGTGAAGTTGGGGATAACATCAGATTTATAATTAAAACTTCGAGAGGGAATATATCTGTTGCTGTTGATAATTGTGAATGTGGGGATTTTGCTTCAATGATGTTACCTTGCAGACATATTTTAGCTGTTAGAAAACTAAAAGATCTACCACTATTCATTCAAGAGATTTGCCATAAAAGATGGACAAGAGAGTATTATTTGTCAAAACAAAGAGTTGGTCGGGTATGCACTGGGGAAGTTACAAAACCAAACTGTACAATCAGTGAAAAACCTAAAACATTGACCTTAACGGAGAAAAGAAAATCAGCAACACTAGTAACTAATTCACTTGTGCATTTGTTAAGTCTTTCAAGTAACAGTGATTTTTGTTATAAGCTCGAGGTATTAAAGAAAATTGAAAACATTTGGAAAAGTGGTAAAGAAGTAACTCTAGGTCTTTTAAATGATGACTTCGAAAACAGTGACGAAAATAATATTCCTAATAGGCCTGAAGAACATATTGCTTCTAGTAACGAATCTTGTATCATACCTAATGAAAGTAGTACTAACGAAATAAGTATACAAGAGGAAGAAAGTCAGTATAACTGCTCTAATGAAGAAAATGAAAACGTACTGTTTGACGGTTTTGTTACTGACACTAATCACCAACCCTTACAAATGAACAGTTTACCTCCAAATCCTACAACAGATCAAGAATCTTTAGAGATGAATGTTACTTCTGATGCAGAAGGAACAAATCTGCTCGACCACGAGGTTGTCCTCAAGTCTATTATCTTACCACCAAAAATTAAAAAAAGGGGTAGACCTAAAGGTCATGACACAACCACTATCGGCTTGAAAAAAAAGCGAAACAAACAATTACCTTCCAAATTTACATTGAAATCAACAACATCGCAATTGTTGTATGTTTTCTCTTTAATATGCACCGAAAATATAGCAGAAATAACATCTGACTCAATTGAAACCAATACATTTAAAGTAAATGAAAATGACTTAAGACAAGAGTTACCAGATGCTATCTTGGGTAAGTATAGATAAGGGAAATAAACAGAACAAAATGTCTAATATTTTTTATGTTTTTTAGATCCATCAATATATGAAAATTTAAATTTGTGTAAATACTTCAACACAGGGGCATGGGATTTGTTCCAAAGAAAACTAAATGAAAAGAGAGAAAAACGAGTGGAGGTGCAAATCCTTCAAAAAACTTTTAAACAACGAACCAACAATTGTGTGCGAAAGCTGCTTGTTTTGGTACCATGTTTCGAAATGTTCAGGGTTGAGAAGAATTCCAAAAATTAGGACTTGGTTTTGCCAAGAATGTTATAATAATTAATTTAAGTAATATGTATCTCTAGGAAGGCATTCACAACTCCCTGAAGATTTGTTTAGCACACTGCTATACATGATACGTCATACAATTAGCTATAAAATCTAAATATCACACTTGTACATACACATGGCTACTTCCCTTTTAAAATTTCTAAGAGCCTTAAAAAATATAGTTTCGAGTTCGACTTTTTTGTCTAATGTTTAATATAAATAAACTCTGTAAAACTACTTTAGCCTTTATTTTCACAGAAAACTTCTTTTTTTAAAAAATAATTAAATCGTTCCATTACTTTTGACACATTACTATGGTTTAAAACTTAAATGCTAAACAAAGTTCAATATGTCTTCACTAGATTTAAACGCATTGTTGATGTGGCAGATCAGTAGCGATGTTACAAATCCAATCCTGAAAATCCGAAGGTTCAATGATGTTCCGTTGGCGTGATCTCAATCGACTTATAAAAAGCGCAACAGGCGCCGAACGACCGCCAGTTAGTGAAACTACAAGCTCTTTTTTTATATATTTGTATAATCAAATTTATCAAATAAATAGAGCTTGAAACTGCTGTCCATCACAAAGCAGATGGTCATTGCAACCTGTTTAACACAAATAAATTAGCTACACACATCTAAACAAAATAATATAAGGGCCAATTGCACAGGTTCGGTATAAATATAAACTTAAGTAAGTAGAACTTAAACTAAAGTAGAGCTTAACTAATTTTTTCGTTGCACACCGTTGTTCTAAAGTTCTACTTTGCAAAGTGGGACTTAGTAATGTATAACATATGGCAACATCGCGAATTTTAACTTGTTTACTACAACATAACCTTACATTTCGTTAGTTTAATTTGAATAATGGACGTTACAAAAAATAAACGAAAGAGAACTTCGAATTTTACAGCCGATGAAAAAGACACATTATTTAATATAGTCTACAATTATAAGCATGTGGTGGAAAATAAAAAAACAGATGCCGTGACATGGCGTGAAAAGGAAAATGCCTGGGAAAAAATTGCATCCGATTATAACTCAATGGCCAGTATACCTAGACCAATGGAATCGCTTAGGAAATGTTACATGAATAAAAAAAAACAAATACGACAAGATGTTTCTAATGAACGGATCCAGCTGCTGCAGACCGGTGGGGGGCCCCCTGAAATGCCAAGAGATGATCCGCATAAAGAATTACTGCTAAAAATAATGAATAAAAAAACAATTGCAGGATTAGATAACCCATTTGACATGGACAATATTGTACAGTCTTCGTGCGATCAAAATGAAAACACACAATCCCCTGGCAATCCGGCTAGTGAAACAAGTAGTTATGTTGGAGAAGTTGAAATGTTGTCTCCCTGTGATATTGATAATATCGAAGTAATTACAGAAGACGATCCAATTGCTGTTAATTTGGAGGAAAACCAGGTCAGTATTGTGTGTAATGTGTGTCAATGCAAGTCTTGTTAATCGTAATGTTTTAGGAACGAATAATCAATTGGGGCGATTATAAATCTTCGCACTTGAAAACCCCCGTGACCAATAAACTCAAAACAGCACGCAACAATGCATCTAGTAGCCGTTGGACAGCGAGACGCCGACCAATTGTAAAAGCCCTTACGACAAATGAGATTTCAGTGGAATACATGGAATTGGCAAAAATTAAAAAAGAAAATGCAGAACTTCAAAAGCAAATTTTAGAAGCTGAGCTTACATTTAAACTCGAAGAAAATAAATTAAAAGTAGAGGGACTTATCTTAGACAATAAGATAAAACAGTTACAACTAAAAAAATTACTGGAAAAATATTAATGTAATTTTTTTTTATATAGGTACATTTACATGGTTACATTTTATTCATTTGAATTAATGTTTAGTTTTATAAAGCAAGTATTTCATTATAATCTACCAAAATAGTTTATAAATTCTTGTCTTACGTTTCTACCTTCATTAATATTTGGTTGATTATTCTGTGGCAATATTTGGATATTCCCTTCGTTAATATTCATAATCTCGTTATCATCTAAGGGTGCTTCTTCTTCATTCATATCTCGTGCAATATTATGAAGAACAGCTGTTGCAATTATAACAACTAGAGTTGTTTGTACTTTCAGACGTGAGCCATAACAAAGAATGGGAAACCTTCTCTTCCATATTCCAAATAGTTTTTCCACTGATCCCCGTGTTCTTATGTGGGCTTCATTATACAACTGCTCCGCATTGCCTTGCGGATTTTGGATTGGTGTTAAGAGGTACTTTTTTAAATTATATGCACTATCACCTACAACAAAATTGAGTGCATACTATAACTAGTTTAATTCAGGTTAGTATTTACCTAACAGTACACCATTCTGAAGTCGTCTATTCTCTAAGAAAGCACGTACTGAACTGTTATTAAATATTGTTTGGTCGTGTGCTGACCCAGGCCATCTAGCAACAATATGTAGAAATTTGTTCTTTGCATCAGATATTGCTTGCACATTAATAGAAAAGTACATTTTTCTATTTCTAAAAACTTCAGCATCGTCGCCGCCTATAAAGTAACCCTATTGTAAAATTGATACATAAACTTAATATATTACCGGGTGATTGTATTTTAATATGAGTGCCATCCACAGCACCTATTACTTTTGGAAACGCACTTATATTGTAAAATTCTCTTTGTACACGAATGTTTTCCTCATGAGTAGAAGGGAATTTTATAAATTGAGGTAATAAGGTTGCAATAGCTTCCGACACCTTTCTTACTACGCGTGATGCTGTTGATATGTGTACGCCTAAAAAATCCCCTACACTCATCAAGTGTTGGCCTGTTGCATAAAAACGCAGTGCTAATAACAATTGGTTGATAGGTGCTACAGCATTATTCCTACAATACTTTTATTGTAGTACTCATTGAAATCAAAATTTCTGGACTTACATATCATATGGAAATTCTAACTGTACTTCGATGAGCATTAGAATTTGATTCACTGTGCCTTTTGTTAAACGAAATCGTTAAAAAAACTCAAAGTCACTCATAGTATCCATGTAATACTGCCTAACATAAACTGCTCTTGGTATACCAACTTCGAGTATTTCTATTACATCAAGATCATCCTCAATAGCATCATTGTCTTCAAAATCCATTGATATCAAGTTGTTTATTAGGTTATTTACGAGTACGAGGTTAGAATTCAACTTAAGCCCAAGTAAATGTTCAGCTTAACTATAAGTTCAACTTAAGAAAATAAGTAGAACTTATAATGACTGTGCAAACCATAAAGCGCTACTTAAATATTTAAGTTAAACTTAACCTTTAAGATGTAGTGGTGCAATTGGCCCTTAATTAATCAACCTATTCTCCAATACCCAGACTTCAAAAAAAACTTTTTCTTTAACCACAGATGCTAGTAATTACGCTATCGGTTCAATTCTATCACAAGGTGACGACTTACCAATCGCTTATGCCAGTCGTACCCTAAACCATGCAGAATCTAGATATAGTACTACCAAAAAGGAATTACTCGCTATCGTATGGTCTGTCAAACACTTTCGCCCTTATTTGTATGGCAGGAAATTCCAAATTTATACAGACCACCGTCCTCTCACGTGGCTGTTTAATGTGAAGGATCCAGGTTCGAGACTAATTCGATGGAGACTAGCTTTAGAAGAGTACGATTACGAAATCAAATACAAACCCGGTAAATCAAATACTAATGCTGATGCCTTAAGCCGCATAACAAACCTAACTACCCCCAATGTAGCAATAACAGATGCAAATCAAAATCAATCATATTCAACGTTCTTAAAATATCTCAATACCACAATTGTCGTTAACCAAAACGTCACTGAGCACGACGAATCATTATTTGCTTTTCATGATAATTTAGCCCACTGTATATCAGCCGATTTAGAAATGTCAGCCGGTATAGCTAAAGAGTTCAAGGAAAGGTTCAATCACCTAGAATATCTCAAATCCAAAAATCCCCACACGCATGACGTAATACCTGTGAAAGATAACAATAGATTCATCTACTACTTGGTAACAAAGAAAAATTACTGGGATAAACCCGACTATTCCGATCTATTCACTACGCTAATCAAACTCAAAGATCATCTACTGTCTCATGATATACGTTCCCTCAGCATCCCAAATCTAGAATGTGGTTTAGATTTACTTCAATGGGAAATAGTATTTTACATTATTAGCCAGGTAAGTGAGTTTTTACTGGCGATAGGAGAAGTAGACTAGCGAGCCGTTAGGCGAGCTTGTCATCTCCTAGAGTCAGTAATAGTTATTTACATATGAGTATGGTAAATCAAGGTTTACGTTAACGAGTGAGATGTTTACTGCCGAAGCGTAGCTGAGGCAGGAATTTCGAAACGAGTAACGTAAACTGATTTGACATACAAATAATGTAAAACATTTTATTTCATACTGCTCTATTTCTATTAAAATACCATTTTGATTAAAATGTTGTAGGTACACATTAAAATAAAAGCAAAAGTCGATCACTTGATTTGTTTGATGACAGTAGTTTGACAAATATCAATGCATACGTTTAGATGGATGTCAGTTGCGGTTGCTAGGCAAAATTTTCAGTCTGGTAAAAATTTTCAGTCTGGTAAAATACGATTTACCAGACTCAAATCAGTCTGGGAAAGCGGCGATTACTAGATAGTATGAAATAAAAACTATTACCTGGCGTATAATGTACAATATTTTATTTGTTACTCATTTGTAAACGTAAATAATTAGTTCTTAAATTGATTTCGAAGGAATGTCTAAAATATCATATTATCCATGTAACAGAGACTTCGCATTAATTCTGGCCAATGAAATTACTAGATTACTAACTTGTAAAATTTTTACAGGTCTGCTGTCAGTTTTACAAGTCAGTAGCGTTTAAACATGACGTTTACCCGTTTGCGTTGTGTCTTGTTAATCAACGTTTACAACTGAGTAACAAATAAACAAATTAGTTCGAATAAAAAATCGAAGTGCAATGGAAATAACTACTACATCCACTAAATCATTTCAAAAAGTTTATCTCGATGTTGTAGGACCACTAACATTAACCGAAAATGGCAACAAATACATACTAACCCTTCAAGACGATCTGACAAAATATTCACAAGCATATCCCATCCCCGACCACACTGCCATAACAGTGGCAAAATGCTTTGTGCATAATTTTATTTGCAAGTTTGGCATCCCTCATTTTATACTTACTGATCAAGGGCAAGATTATGGCCAATATCTTAACTGAAATCACAAAATTATTTCAAATAAAAAAATTGTTTTGTAGTGCTTATAGACCTCAAACTAATGGCGCTTTAGAAAGAAGCCACGCAGGCCTTATAGATTATTTAAAACATTTTATAAACAAAGATCAGACAGATTGGGACAATTGGGTAGATTTTGCTATGTTTAGTTACAATACAACTGTTCACACAACAACCAAATTTACTCCACATGAACTTGTTTTTGGAATTAAACCAATATTACCAAACTCTATTAAAAGTGAACCAAAATTTCGCTACACTTACGATAATTACGTTGACGAACTAAAATTAAAACTTACTAGTTCCCAGAAATTGGCGCTTGATTACGCCATCCAGTCAAAACTCCAAAACAAAAAATACTACGATAAAAAAGCTTCCCCTGTTAATTATGCTATAGGTGAACAAGTTTACCTAATGAATGAACAGGCTAAATTAGGAAAATCCAAAAAACTCAGTGCCAACTATACAGGACCATTCATAATAACAGAAATAAATTCTCCTGTTAACGTAACGATTAAAACACATAAAAATAAGCATATTATGGTACACGTTGACCGCATTAAGCACGCTTTTCTTGAATCTGAACGTTAAAATTTTTTTTTTAACCAAGTAAATTTCTCAAGCTAGATCCATTGTCCGCATATCAACGTAGAATTGTAACATGTATAACATACGATTGTAAATAGTTTAAGTTAATTTTAAGATTTGTGTTTAGTATTTAAGCAGTGAACAGTGCAAACCATCGACAACTGTGTTAGTTTTTAGGGGGAAGGTGTAATAACCCTCGGAATTCGTAACGCGTAATATTAGTCATTTAGCCCTCAGTTAAGTAGGTACCTACTTGCTAATTTAAGCGTAAATGTCAATCTTACCAGATTTTTCTCTTTAATTTCATTGTTCAGTTTAAATCTTCGTATTGTACACAAATCCTTGCACAAACACTTATTTTAGTAAAGTAAATCTTTCTTATAGCGTTTTCCATTTGCCTACTTCGAGTGCTCTCGCATGCACTAAATTTGTGTTCCATTTGCAACAATATTGTGTTCCATTTGTACTCTGGCGCACTCTCTCGTACTCCGACTTAAAATTTTTTTACTCTGTACAAAAGGAGGGAGTAAAGATTTTTAAGGTTATGTATGTTTTAAAAGTGACCTGTGTACCAACACAGTTCAGTGTGTCAACTACTGTTTTTTTAATTTTTACTATGGAAATGGAAGACGCCAATGTAGTAAACATTATTTTAAATAATCTTGAAAATGCGTACGATGAAAGTTCTTCCTCAGATGAAGATGATGAACTTCTTATTCGTTTGGTCAAATACAAAATTCCTAAGATAGAACATTTTATAGATGATGTTGTGAATAAACTAAACGATTGTTTGGTATGTTATTCTTAATAGAGATAAGAGTTTTATAATTGCAATATGTGTATTATAGTTTAAAAGCCATTTTCGCATGAATAGATCATCAACAAACAAATTAGTTGAAAAATTTGGAAGTTCTTCGTTTTACCCCAAGAGTGTGGCAGGACAGAAATCGGTCAGTTCAGAGAACCACATACTGTCTTTCTTATGGTAAGTATTCCAGTTATTGCCAATAATTCACATTACTAAAGTGCTTTAGGTTTGCTGGTAACAAATGTTGTCTGCGTGATGTCTCCCAAAGATTTGGAGTTGGCATAGCATCACTGCATCGACAATGTGATCGTGTGATGGAGTTTCTAGTTAGCATAGCCCCTCAAATAATTACATTTCCTATAGGAGACCTACAAAAGTTAAGCATGGCTAAGGAATTTGAGAAAGTGAGCTTACCAGTTTTCTTAAACTGTAAAATAATAAATATAGGATCGTCCAGAACGATTATTGTTGTCTACTGCCATTTTTTTTCTCCGAAGTACAGTTTTATATCTGCTTTCAACCTGTGTTGCACTGCGATTTATATTAAATTTCTTAGTTAATAAACAACTCAAAAAATTCCATAGTGCCTTCTTATTTTTAAATTTTTTTTTAGGTCCAATGTTATTTAAATTTATTTGATATTGATCTAACAGGTACTTTGTTTCCTCATCTGACCATCCTTGAACTAAAATTCAGGTTTCTAAAAAACTTGATTCTTACCTTCCATCGTCATTGACCCTACGCATCGTGTGTAAGGCATCTTTCAAAGAAATGAAACCATTACTTATCAACTGCATTATGTAGTTAATTGTAAATTCATCATCATCTATAATAAATTTCTTATTTAAACACTTTTCATACACTGTGAACAAAATGTGCAATATAGACAAGGTAGACAAGTAAAACTAGTGGTATTTACTCACTTGTAATCTTAAAAAGAAGATCAGAATCATCGTTCGGTAAGGTTAGGGTAACAATTTCATCATTAAGTTTAAATATTACTGCTAATTCGTCCATTGTAATTTAACCGACATAACAAAACCGCGATAACTAGGTTATGTGTTCTTAAAATGTATGTTCCATTTGTGAACAAAACGGTTTGCTCCAGGACAACCTCTAGTCCAAAAAAATCTGGAGCCACTCTAACTTGGCACAAATGGAAAAGTTATTAGTATAAGATTAGACCTTTCGAGGAAACTTTAGTCATTTTAGTCATTTGTCATCTTTTGCAATATTCCAAGAAATGTAATTATAGAAAGAAATATCACTGGTTAAACGTTTTCTATCTTTAAGTGGGATAACCAATCATGTTCAATTCATATTTTCTAGGGTTGCAAAACCAAACCTCAAAGTTAGTTCTTAAGTAACAATTAAGTTATTCGCACGTCAAGCGACACGCGCGATTAGTCGCTATGACATCAACTTCAACTTAAAGCCGTTTTACATTACACAATAAATGAGCCAAAAAGTTGTATACTTTTTTTAGACAAAAAATGTTGTAGGAAATATGTTGTGTGCGAAGTTTGTCCGTTTGATATACATACAAAATTTATTGTACGTGATCATGCGCAGTTTAATTGTTTGTTATTTTTATTATTTTCATAATGAGTAGTTTAAAGCAAAAACTTTTAATCACTGTTGCTGTTGTAAGTTCTGTATTACTGGTCAGACAACTTAGACAAAGGCAGTGTAGAAAATTAAAAAAGAAAAACCGTAAAACTTGGCAAGAGAAATGGTTGCAACGAAGAAACGCAGGCAGAGGTGTTTTAAACATGCTCCACAATGAATTACGCATTGAGGATCCAGAAGCATACAAAAATTACTTACGTATGAACCACGATCAATTCACAGAAATATTGCAAAAAATATCTGAAGATATCAAAAAGGTCAACACACATTTTAGAGAATGTATACCGGCCGAACAAAGGTAAAGAATGCTTCCGTTTTAAATACTTAAACATTACATAAAAGTGCTTTTAGATTAGCAGTTACTCTGCGGTATTTAGCATGTGGAAATACTTACAGAGATCTAATGTTTGCAACTCGCATTCATGAAAGTACCATTAGTTTAATTATTCCCGAGGTGTGTCAAGCAATAATAAAAGGGTTTATGAACCAGTATTTAAAGGTTGCTAAAATAGATTTAATGAATTTCTTTTTATGCATATTGTATACTTTTAGATGCCCCAAACTGTTAGTGAATGGGAATGTATAGCAAAAGATTTTGAAGAACAATGGAATTTTCCCATGTGCATAGGTGCCATAGATGGCAAACACATAAACTTCCAAGCTCCTCAAAGTGCCGGTTCATTCTATTACAACTATAAAGGCCATCACAGCATTGTACTTCTTGCTCTTGTTGACGCAAAGTATAAGTTTATATACGTGGATTTAGGAGTAAACGGAAGGAACAGTGATGGGTGTGTATTTAGAGAAAGCAGTTTGAAACATTACATTGATAACAACTTATTAAACTTTCCTGACGATAAGACATTACCAGGAACAACTTTGAAAGTACCATTTTGCATGGTAGGGGATGATGCATTTCCTATGTCCTGCCGGCTAATGAAACCATATCCTTCTCGTAATTTGACTAGAGAAAAGAGAATATTTAATTACAGGCTTTCACGTGCCAGACGCATTGTAGAAAATGCCTTTGGCATTTTAGCGAACAGATTTAGAATTCTATTAAACACAATAAACCTAAGCCCTGAAAAAGCTGAAATGGACACATTAACGTGTTGTATATTACACAACCACCTAGCATCAAACAATCCATTTTATACACGAACTGAAGAAGAATGTCATCTGGAAAGTATTGCATCACAAGGTGGAAGTCATAGCAGCCGTGAAGCTATTAACATTAGAGACAAATTTTGTGAATACTTTAATTCAGTGGGTAGAGTGGAATGGCAAGATAGAGCAGTAGGCATTGTTTGAACAAATTACTTTTATTACATTCAATTGTTCATGGCTTTATGCAAAATGCCATGAATTTAGTATTTAACATTTGCTTTTACTCGCTGATCTGATATCATTTTAAGTTGTGATGAAATAAAACTTGCAAATATATCATCATCATTACTTGTTTCTTTAGGATTATTTAATGTACTGACAACACTTCCAAGATGCTTCGTCATCTGTGAAAGTAGTTCATTGTCATTATCTTTTTTGGTTGCCTTCCTTTTTCTCGCAATCGGAGTGCCCGATCTTGACAAAGCAGGAGTTTCGTCACGAGGCGTTATTGTCCCAGTATCAGATACAGGTGATAGTACATTATCTTCCACATATTCTTCAGTAACCTAATAATACATTTTAATTACACAAAACTATTTAAATAACCAATGGTGACTTACCTCGGGTACATATTCCTCAGACTCTGTTTCCTCTTCCTCAATAATTGCATTCTCGGGTAGTTCTGTGTTGGAGACTAATGCATCTAAATTCGAAACGGATGTTCGTATTGCCAAATGATTATTCAAAAATTCCATTTTCGCATAATACCACAGACTAGGTTGATACACCTAAAAATAAATTACGAAGTTTCTGTATAACACCTGTGGGAACAATAACGACGTAAGTACTTACTCAATCACTATCCATTCCACTACGTAATGAAGCCAAAACATTTCTACGTTCATTGCTGTAAGTGGTACGTAATCCCAAAAATTTCTTTTGCAAATCTGCCTCTGTCACATTGGGCCGCAGTTTTTGTAAAGCTGCAGCAATTGTTTGTAGAGCACCATTTCGCAATGCTTTGTTATGATAATCTTTATGTTTAACAAAGTAAAGAACTGGATACTTCCTATATTCTTCAATCAAACATGATATCTGATCACTCGACCACGACATCTCAAATTTCAAGTTTTAATGATAATATAAGTAATATAACGGTATGAAACACAGTACACAATAATTACTCATCACCATCAGCGATCAGCTGTGAAGTGTGAAGTGTGTGTGAAGCCATTCCACACGATAACGCATGCGTACTTGAAAAAAGTTGAACGAAAAATTGTATGAAAATAGAGCATGTTCTAAATATCTTGAACAATTTGGATATCGCATACAATTTTCCGTTTGATATTACACAATATTTCTAGGCTCAAAAATTGTGCAACTTCTTGTGCAATTTATTGTGTAATGTAAAACGGCTTTTAAACAATAGTAACAATGTAATATAAATACATGAATGGAAATAAAGATATTTAATCTAACCGAAATCGGGTTTTCTTCCGGTCGATTATTACATTGGTTACAACCAAGATTATGGTTGCGGGTTCCATATCGATAAACAACCTGAAGATTTCAGTTATTTGCCAACTTCACACTGCTGAAACTGGTAACCAAAACGTCAACCAAACGACCGCCTTTTTTAGCGCGGTTTGTTCACAGAGTTGTATATAAGTAAATAGAGAGACAGTCTTGTAGCGAAAAATTGACTCCAATTGAACCTTGCGCAAGCCGTTGGTGAGTGTGCGCAGTAATCGACAACAGAACCGGCTTCAAATTAAATGACCCTTAAAGCAGGTTCGGCTTGAGAATAATATGGTTTCTCATTGCAACAAAAATTGAAAAGAAATTCAATGTGTGGTGAATGATTTTGTGAACACTGTATCTTGAATAAATAAGAAACATTACAATCGTTAAGAACTTTTAATACAGTAGACTACAATACAAAGCTGGTAAGGGGCTTACAACATCAAAATCGAGAAAAGATTTTTTGAGATTCTGGTATAAAGGAAATCGTATATTTGTCGTGCGATCGAGTTTAAAGATCTATTTATGCACTCAGTGAGTATAAAAATAAGCAATGAAAGAATAAAATAAATTGAAATTTTATTTTGGTGCGGGACAAAATTTCAGGTGTGCAATGCCGAAAACACAGTTTAAATACGGGTAGCCACAAAGTCGACAAACTTCAAATGCCAATAACTCAAATATCTCAAAAATGGAGCATCGGCAGAGGGTATGTACAGTGGCACCACGCTCAGAAAGTCCCTGACAGGGCGTGTCCGAGGACGCTGGAAATTTAGACTGTACATTCTCATGCAAAATTTGACTCTACTAAATATAAATAAGTGGGCCACGCGATATGAGTTGCATTACTTCAAGGGGAAACCGTAAAATTAATAATTTTATTTCTACAAAACGTAAATACATTTAAGATTGTTAGATGTTCATGTTCAACACAATTTACAATTCTGATGCACTTCTGCTGTGTAAATATGGACAGTTATTGAAACAATCACATTGAAATTAATAACAATCACATTGAAATTAATAACACTCACATTGACTAAATTAACACACAACCTTTAACTTTTTTCATTCATTATCGTCACTTGATCACTAATCATCATCGGAACTGCCGGTGTTCACAATAAATTGTACATTGTCAATAAATTCATTTCTCGTAGGAATGTTATTTGCTTCTAACCAAGAACGTATCACTTCCTTACGATTATTCATTGTTGGTGGCTTATTTATTTGAACACTGATTGATAAGGTGCGTGAGTTTGCTGGTAAATTTGGTATAAGCTGCTTCTCTAACCACTGCATAAAGTTGGTATGATTCATATCATCGTAATAATCCCCCGATTTACTGTGCGACATCCTCTACAAAACCAGAACGACTACCAGCATACTACGATGTACTACCTCTGACCAGCCCTATTATAAACTTCCGATACTTCATCTGATTGTTAGCATTTACTCACTCCGTACGATGGGTGAATATAGGTTTTGTCCAAGTATATAACGGATTTCTTGTCACATTCAGGTTGTTCATTTTCTTTTAATCTTCTTAAATAAAGTTTCAACAATTGCTTGCGAAGAGTTTTCCTTCCACCCATATATTTGATCTTTTCTTGCACTTTTCTAGGAGCATTTTAAAATAACCTTTATTTATGTACAGATTGTCGCCTACTAAACATTGAAATGGCGGTAAAGAGTATAATGTAATGGGTATGCTTAAATTATTATGTACTCCAAAGCGTCTGTTTATTTACAAATGAATCTGAAGCATCTGAAAAGTTATTGCTGTTTTGTTTTGTGATTATGTAAGTGTAACTGAATGCACCCAAAAATCGTGCTGATTCCCTTTCACGCACTGCGCATGAGTCCCAACGGCTCCGCCATTAAAAGCCCAGAACAAAAAACTTAGAAGGGAAACGTAAACGGGAACAACTGAGTACAAATATAATTAGTTTGGAGAACATTCAATAGATGGCGCATAGTTAGCGTGCGTGTTAGTTACTAAATCTAGTGACTTTCGTGCGTGTTCGCCATTATGACAGTTGAATTTTGAATTTTGATTGACGGTTTATTGTGCTTTAAGTATAATTACTATTCATTATTACAATGAATTATGCATATACAAGTCGAGAACGTAAATGTTGTGTGACAAATTGTGAAGACGTTTCCCAAAAATGGAGCCCGAAGTTTTTAAGAATTGGTTTAGAATATAATGTGGAAGAAATTTACACAAAAGTTTTTGGTTTGTGAACGTCATTTTTCTGGCTGCGCTTTAGAACCTGGAACACGAAGAGATTTAAAGCGTGTGGCAGTTCGCACATTATATTTAGCAGGTAACACTAATTGAATTGTAATAAATTGCTACATATTTTGTTTTTAGAACGATCTCGAGAGCATCATACAGTAGAGTTCCATGAAGTTAATCTTGTATCTTGTATAATCATATTAAATTAAATACAGGGTGACAATTTGAAAACCTACCACCCCCCATATCTTAGTAAATAAACGAGATATTTAAAAAAATCAAAATCCGTTTCGGTAATTCGGAGGGGGAATCACAATGACATAGTTGGCGACGCACCCCCCCCCACCCCCTGCGCCCTAGCCACCCCAACTTTTAAATCTTAAATAGTGACCCCCCATGTGTGATACGTCGTTGGAAAGCTCTGAAAAAATGCTTTCCAACCATACCAAATAGCATTACATTTAGGTTAGTAATTATCGTGCAAATCAAAAAATAAACATGGAAAATCGTATTTAACTTGAACTTCCAAAGCCGACTCGACAGCAACTCATTTTTGATCGCCAGTTATAATCTATTCTCAAACTCTTGTCGAACCTTTCCAATGTTGGTTTTGCAATATTTCGACATTCTTGAATTATTCTCTGTCTTAGTTCGTCTTATGTTCGCCGGTTGCGTTTTAAATACGACAGATTTCAAATGTATCATATATTAGTTTATGTTTTGATTTGCACGATAATTACTAACCTAAATGTAATGCTATTTGGTATGGTTGGAAAGCATTTTTTCAGAGCTTTCCAACGACGTATCACACATGGGGGTCACTATTTAAGATTTAAAAGTTGGGGTGGCTGGGGCGCAGGGGGTTGGAGGGGGTGCGTCGCCAACTATGTCATTGTGATTCCCCCTCCGAATTACCGAAACGGATTTTGATTTTTTTTAATATTTCGTTTATTTACTAAGATATGGGGGGTGGTAAGTTTTCAAATTGTCACCCTGTATAACTCCTTGATTGGATTAATTGGAGTTACTTATAAAACAAAAGTGCCCTGTACTCTTTGAAGGCCCTGACTGGTGAGGTGCATCCGCATTAAACTGAATTTATTTGGATCCCTAACAAACAAACTTGGACTTCACTGGCTGGATTCATTTACCTTTTAGGTTTCAGCTAGTCAAATCCAATGTTATTGTTACAGATCCGGAGAAATTCAGTATCATGCGGACGTAGCTTACATTTTAATATTTAAATTTGGCGCCATTCACGCAAAAGTTGCTGAGAACATACACGAGATGGCGCGTCATTTTTACATTACATTACAGTTTCCATTCTAAGTTTGTTGTTCTATGCATTAAAAGTCGGCCACTGTAGTTGGAGTTACTGCCTGCCCTTTCACAATCATGTTAATGTTAATGGTAATGCTAATGGTAATGGTAACGCTATTCACAATACTGTTAATGTTGATGGTAGAGGAAGTTCCCCCACTCAAAAGTGACAGTGTTTTGTGGTGGCGCTGGAGGGCGCAACGAAAAATAAATTGTCTGTTTAAATTCTTTGATTTGGTCTGTGGTTGTTTGACGGGCCGTAAAAATATAACCTTTAATTGAAGTTTGCATTTTGCAAGTTGCGTTTGGGAGGTTGTAAAAATGCCTAGCAGGAAAAGAATTGCGATTGCGATCTTGAAAGTGATGCTACTGAGACGAATCGGTAGAAGGATGAAAGAAAAGCAAAGGCTAAAGGAGTAGACGCTGGGGTGTTCGCCCGGTACTGAGAGAACGAAAAACGAGCGGTGAATTTGTGACTGTCTTTCAGAAATACAAAGTAAGAGTAAATATTAAAACGGTTTACATTAAAATAATTCATTTATCATTTAGGTTATCGATCACGAATGGTTCTTTCTGTATACCAGGATGACTCCTTCGGCGCAATTCGATGATTTGTTGAGTCTTGTAGGACCTAGTTTGACCAAGAAGAGCTACCGAGAACCTCTTTGTGCTTCACAAAGACTCGCGATCACGCTCAGGTTGATTGTAAGAGAAAAAAGGTTTTGCAGATATTTGTCGCAAGGCGACTCCGTGTTCAGTATAGCATCTGGCTACAAAATAGGACGTTCCACTGCGTCAATGGTTATTAGAGAGACTACGATAGTAATTTGGAGAGTGCTAAATAAAATCGTGTTGAAAACGCTCAGTGAAGAAGACTTCAAAAGAATTGCTAATCAGTTTTTAATGAGATGGAATTTGCCACATACTTTAGGAGCTTTGGATGGAAAACATATCGGTATCCAGTGTCCTGCAAAATCTGGAAGTGAATATTTCAATTATAAGAAGCACTTCAGTATCATTCTTTTGGCCTTATGCGATGCACACTATAATTTCACCTATGTCAACGTAGGTGCGTATGGGTCCCAAAGTGATGGTGGAGTACTTGCCAATTCAGCTCTAGGAGAAGCGTTGCAATCGGGAGATTTACCTATTCCTCCGGAAGACTTTCTGCCGAACAGCCGCATCAAAATGCCATACTTTTTTGTTGGCGACGACGCTTTCACATTAATGAAACATTTAATGAAACCTTTTAAAGGACTTCACCTGACCCTTGAGCAAAATATTTTTAACTACAGATTGAGTCGTGCGCGACGCGTTATTGAAAATTGCTTTGGCATTCTCGTTGCTAGATGGAGAATTTTTACTCGCACTATAACAGCAAGTCCCTCAACAGTGGACAGCATCGTGAAGGCTACGGTCTGCTTGCACAATTTTTTGAAACAAAAAGAATATAACGTACCTGAATGCAGAAAGAAATATTGCCCGGCTTCATTTTGTGACAGTGAAACGGATGATGGAATAGTACCAGGTGCTTGGAGGAGAGAAGTGGAGCAAAATGGAAATGTGACCTTACAAGACGTACACAAAACCGGGAGGGGAGGGAATAACCCTGGAAGAGCAGCGCTACAATTACGAGAAACATTAACTCAGTACCTCATAAGCCGTGCAGGAGCGTTGCCTGGGCAAGTTAATTATGTGAACAGGGGCAGAAGGATGTAAAAATTTCAGTGAAATATTTTCAAGTTAATATGTACAACAAATTATGAACTATTATTATTAAGAAACTATGTATTACAATTCAATGCCTGTAGCAATTAAATAAATTTTTGCCTTCCTCTTCTGCTTCTCTTGAGTATCATTTACTTTCCTTAATTCACATGCGACGGCTTTGCAAAAAATGTCATCTTCATCGTCCTGTTGTGGTTTGTCAAGGTCTTTCAAAGTCTTCAGCATCTCAAGTTCGATGCTGGAGTCCTTTCCCTGGCACTGTTTCCGCTTCATACTCGCCCTTGGTGTTTGATGGTTTTCCCCAGACAATGATGAACAGGGAGGCAATAAGCTTCTGTCTTCATTTTCATCTTCTTTGTTGCCCGCTAATTCTGCGTCCGTGCCCTCTTCGGTACCTGCAACGACCAATCATCGCAATGTCTGTTTATTATTACACTCTAGCAAATAACTTACCATTGTTGTTGTTGCTAACTTTTGTCAGGCTGCTGTTTGTAGTTTTTCGCTGCTTGACGTGGTCGCTCAAAAACGCCATGCTATCGAACCACTCCCATTTCCCAATGGTGTCTTCTTGGCCTTGTCCACTTCTCGTATTTAAGTCATGGTTTCTTATCTCCTTCGTAAACCTCTCCCGGAGTGTTCGCCATCGAGTTTTCACTTCTTCCACTTTAAATATAAATATAACCTCAATATTAAAGACTCAAAATAATAATGCTTTTTGGAAACTTACCATTACAGTTAAGGGTTTCAGCAATTTCAATCCAGGCGTTGTTCTTTTTCTTTATGTCTTTAAAATCGCTGCGTTGTTTATCGTAGAGGAATGGGTATTGTTGTATTTAACTCCAACAGTAACGAGACGTCAACAATCATCATTGCACCGAACGCAACAGCAAATAACAAAAACCAGCAATTGCACACGAAAACAACAAGGCAAACGAGAAATTCAAACGAACTGCAGAGCTTAAATAAATATGACGCGATGGGTGACAGTTCACGCGGTCAGCAGTCAACACATGCGCATGCGCTGCATTTTACCGTAGCTGCAATTCTATTGGAGGATGTTAACGCCGATGTTAGTAGATCCATAAAATTTCTGGACCTTAACATCACCATCTTACGTTAACAGGTTAACATTACCATTACCATCATTGTGAACGCTTTGCTTGTAATGCCATTATCTGGAGTTTAACATTCTAACATTACGTTACCATTACCATTAATATTAACATGATTGTGAAAGGGCAGTTATTTTTCCACGCGCAGGTCGTATGTACTACCTCTCTATTTACTTATATACAACTCTGTCGGTTTGTTATGGTTGTAATGTCAAATGTCAGTTGTGTATATGGTTTGAAAACTTATGTGAAAAGGATTTATATAAGATGGAAGAAGAAGTAAGTGATTTTAGAAAGAAGTACACACTCAAATATATACATTTCAATCATTATGATGCAATACTATTGATAACATTTCTTTGTAGCATTTCTTTTGTGGTCATTGTGGGGAAGAAGTTGGTTTGTCTGAGTTGGACTCCTTGAGTCACAGCTGCTTCACAGGGTGCAATGAATTGCACCAAAGGCAAAATGGGGTGTTATATGCAATTCATGACGAGCCAACACAATTGGATATTCCGCATTGCTCGACACCTCAACCATCACCTATGACGAAAGTCACATGGACTGACGAAAATGTGAAGGCTCTTTTAGAAGCTTATAGGAAACATAAACCTAAATTTATGTCTCCACAATTTAATAAAAAACAAGTATGGAACATAATTTCCGCCGAGATGAAAAAATTAGGCATGGATATTTCTGGCGAAAAGTGTGATGAAAAGTTTCGAAATCTAAAGAAACAGTATGATAAAGTTAATACAGACAATAACAAAACTGGTAACTGTATGACAACCTGGAGACTTTACGAAGATATAGTATATTATGAGTAAAAATCCTCAGTATCATCCCATTGCGACTGCTTCAAGTAGTGGCAACCTGGGCGGTACCTCAGTTATCGCTGCAAGCCCTGTAACATCGGTAGATAATGAAACAGAGAATTCATCTTCATCATCCTCGAGGGTTTCACCCGTACCGAAAAAAAATAACAAAAGAAAAATGACATTATGTGAATTCAATGAACACAAAGAAAGGCGCCACAAAGAAAAAATGCAGCAAAAACAAGAAATGTTTGAACGGTTTAAAAATCATTTAAAAAAATAACGCTAACTTGTCGGATCTATACATACATCTCATTTGTTTTGTCAATATAGAATTTTTGTTTGAGTTTTAATGTTTGTAGGGAACTGTGAGTTTATAATAGAAGCAGTTATTTTAGTTTCAAAATAAAATTGTATGTTTAATGATATTTTATTACAAAGGTAAATTTACACAAATATTGTCTCTTTTATTGTGACCTATTTGAGACATTTCTCTTTCATTCAATACATTTAGATTAATATTATCTTCTTCATTTTCAAAATCGTCTTCATTTAATTGAAGTATGTCATTTTGTAAAATGCAAATGTTGTGTAAAACACAACATGCGACAATAGTTTTTGGGATCCATTGTTGTAGACGAATATCCAGTGTATCTTTAAGACACCTACATCTTTTCTTTAGTAAAGCAAATGCTCTCTCAATGATATTACGTACACTTGATATTTTAAAATTGTAATTCTGTTGCCTTTCGGTTAAATGGCCATTATTTCAATAAGGTGTCATTAGTTGTGGTATGCAGGGGTAAGCTTTATCTCCAACAAGATGGGTATTTTCAGGAAAGTACAATTCTGAACGTTCGCTTATAAATTCCCATATTTCACTTCTTCTCAATACTTGAGCATCGTGATTAGCCCCTACTTCCCCTGCATAACAATGTGTGAACATCATCCGATGATCACAGATCCCCTAAAATTGTTGATTAAATAAATTACTTATTAAAACAAAAAATAGCTGGAAAATTCTTTCTACATATATAATGCAACCCATTGTCTTGAGGTAATGGTATTTTTACTCGTATTTTTATATATGATCCATCAATAGCACCGATCGTGTTAGGAAAACCACTTGCATTAAAACTGTTTCGAGCGTTAACTAACTCATCTCCCCTAGGCCACTTTATATATCTTGGTGCGAGACGAAAGAAAGCATCTGTAACCCTGTGGACACTTCTATGTGCGGTTGCTTTTCCTACATTAAACCGTCCGCATATTGATCTAAAACGCAACCAGTCAGAAATTAAATTGGAATGAATCTTAACTACAAGAATATCGAAATTGCTATTTACAAACCTACTCGTATAACAATCAGGAGTTGCAAAATACCACAAAGCTAACAATAACTGCCGTTTTACACTTATTGTGTGCCTACAAGCCTCCATCATATTCGATTCAATATCGTTTCTAACTAAATTTAAAAATTTAAAACATCAAAGGTACTTCTATGCATACGAAAATTTTCCCTAAATTCTTGATCAGAGAAACGATCTACAACTTCCTCAAAATCTTGTATGCGAGGTCTCACCACTACAAAGCATGTGTAAAGTGTACAGTAAGGTAAAAATAACAAACCCATCGGTGCACGATACATAATTTCATCATCTGAGCTCTCTTCATCGGTAGTATTTATTAAACAATTAAAAATAACAGCAATTTGTTGATCTATTTTTAAAGATCTAGGGTTATGTAGTCACTTTTAAAACGGAAGGTTATGTTGCAACCAGTGGTGCGTTCGGTTTTGTGCTCGCGGTGCTGAGCAGATTAATATCAGCTGACTGCCGGATACATCTGAGCTCTGCGCCTGAAAACGAACCAACCTGGTTCTAAAAGTTTACCGCCCATTTATTTATAACCTCTAAGTGGATTAATTTTCTGCGTGTTCATGATTTTTGGCAAAAATGTCTTCAATGAAAGTAAAAATTAATAATAATGAAATTGTAGTATTAATGCTACCGGATGAGGATATCCTACAAACTATAGGGGGAAGGTGGGGGAATACCGCGCACCTAAGGAAAATTGTTAATTACACCCACAAAAAGAAGGTTTAAAAAACTGATGATACTGACGTTTCATATTAAGCATTTCATAAAGGTCGTATGGGAAATTTTTTAAACATTTTTATCTTTTTCGATCTCTGAGAAATATTTTTATTTTCAAGATATTGCACTTGCGCGGTATTGCCCACCCTGCGGGGTAATTCCGCGCGGAGAGTGGGGTAATACAGCGCAATAAAACAATTAGAACAACTGATGTATTTATGTCTTTAATGAATTAAAAAATAAACTTACAAACCATTAGTAGGTATCTCCATTTGAAATTCAAAATTCTAATACTCTCTTTCCTCTACGTTTATAACAAAAGTCGCAGGTAAAGTCTTCCGCCGTATCCCAACCGCTACATTCCTGGTGCGCCCATCTTCCACATACCACGCATCTGGTTACGCCCAAATTCTCCACAAATTAAACACTCATTTTCATCATACATATTTTCATCGTCAAGCTCCACATCATCATCATCAACAACGTCTAACATATCAGTGTCCGACTCTTCAGTCTCGGTATCACTTTCCATCACTTTTTTAGGTCTGTGTAACTTTCTTTGGCTTAAGCTGTCTCGGTATCACTTTCCATCACTTTTTTAGGTCTGTGTAGTTACACAGACCAGAAAGTTTTCTTTGGCTTAAGCTTGCTTGCTTCTTTTTTTCCAGCTGCTTTTGCTGCTTTTGATTCTCTCTTTTTTTGATCTTCAAGGAGTTGAACCTTTATAGGAGTACTTGTTAGAATTTGCGAATGCTGTTTTTTAGGACCACCTTTTTTAATATTTCTACGGACTTTTTTTGGAATAGGTGCTATATTTTCAATGCTCACAAATGCTGCACTTAGGTTTTTTTCACAATTTGTACCTGTTGATGTACTTGGTTGTGTATCTTTTCTTTCTGAATTTGATGGTACACTGGTCATTGTGTCTTCAATTGATGTTACATTGACTTCTGTTACTTGAGGATTTTTTTGAACGTCACTTTCGTCTAGGTTACATGCGATAGAAATGTTACGATGCTGCTCAGCTGGGGCAAAATCATCAGCTGTAAATCTATCCACATTTAAAGGGAAGATTCCGGTACAGCGAAAGCCAGATTCCGCCTTTTCCATCGTTGCCACTCTGACATATGCTTTATTAAATAAATTAGCTAGCTCAGACATGTTTATTTTTTCATGACCTGTCAGCTTTAGGTGGAGATCACATTCCCGGTAAAATGCATTTTTCAGTGGACTGTAAAAGGACACATCTAATGGTTGCGTTCTATGGGATGTGTGAGGGGGAAGCGACACGACATGAATGTGGTTCTTTTTGCAAAAATCGTGCATGGCTATAGAAATGTGACTCCCATGATTGTCACACACTAACAAAACTGGATCATCCAAAGATGGTTTTGCATGTTTCTTAAAGTGCTCCAGCCAGGTGAGAAACAAATCTTGATTAATCCACCCATTGTCTGAGCAGTGATAAATGGCACCTACTGGCCCCCCTGTTTCCAAACTAGCACTCATACGCTTACGAGGATAGATGAACATTGGTGGTATATATCCGCCAGCCGCATTCATACAGCACATAACTGTAACATTTCTACCTCGCTCGCCAGAGGTGGCAACTCCAACCTGCTTTGACCCTCGAGCAGCATAAATTTTACCACTTTTATTAGGTACATTGCTGATTCCCGTTTCATCGCAGTTATACACCCTGTTTGCGGCAAAATGGAATTTAGAGTAAATTTGTTCTAGATGAGAAAAAAATCGTTTTACTTCATCAGCATTAAAAGAAGTAATGCGATTAATACTGGTGCCCTCAGGTTGCCGAAGACTTATTTTAGGGTTCCTCTTAATAAAAAGGTACAGCCAATCCTTGCCAGCCAATTGTTTTTGATTATTAAAATTATGCTTTATATTATTTTTTACAGCAAAATCAAAAGCAATTTTTCTAAGGCTCATGGGCGTTACACCATAAAAAAGGTTTGCTAGTTTTATCACATGATTTACTATTTCTTGCTCTTGTTGGGGAGTAAATATACCTTTTCTGCCTAAACTTACGCTGGGAGATGCTAGTTTCATCTGATCACGTAGCGTGGATTCGGGAATGTTGAAGTCTCGTCCAGCTTTGCGAATTGACGATCCTCCGTTAATTGCCTCTAGGGCCTTTTTAAGGCTGTCGGAGCTCCAAGACTTCCTTTCAGTTTTTCGTACATAGTTTCGTGGAATCTAAGTACCAATAATAATTAAAAAAGATGTGTAGATAAAAAGATACTATTTTGCTATAAGAAACAATGCGGGGTAAAACCGCGCACAAATTTACATCATGCGCGGTATTACCCCACCGGTACATACTGTAAAAATTGACGGATATAAAAAAAAGTAAACAATCAAATGACATGAGGTAAGGTGCAAATGGAAGCCCAAAAGATGAAGTATTCAGGTAAATTAACCTAGTCTGTGTAAGTAAAAAAAATTGACTTACTTTGCTTATTTTAGGGACGCACAATATTAGAGAAAATACACGCTTCACGTGTTAAACCCAACTGGTGAGCAATGAGCCATTTTGGCGGGAACTGCTATAATGTATGTTAGTTGACATGTTATTCGTTAGATGTCTATGCATGGATATCTGTAGATTTATTCACCAGTGGGTTGTAACATTGATGCGCGGTATTACCCCGTGCGCGGTATTCCCCCACTTTCCCCTACATAATGGTAAGTTGAAATTTAAAGCTAGTTGTGTTGTTCTTTAATGGCTTGTAGATCCCTCTTTATTATTGAATGTGGCCCAACAGTTTGTGTCGTATAATGTAGAGTCTGTAGAATTGTTGGCTGATGATACTGAAGTTTCTGGAGAAACGGCACAAAGAGAGTCTGAACTTGATGGAGAGCCGGACGAGAAAAAGATGTGGACCGATGAGAACATTACATTGCTAATTCGACTATACCAAACACATGAAAATGAATTTAACAGCGGAGTTAAAAAAAACATATGGAATAAAATTTCCAAGACTTTATGTGAAGCTACAGGAATGACCATAACAGGCATCCAATGTTACACGAAGTGGAAGGGTCTGATTCGCCACTACAAAATTGTTAAAAAACATAACAAGACATCAGGTAATGACCACAAGTATTGGAAGTTTTATGCTCTAATAAATGACATATTACACAAGAAGCCAGAAATAACTCCTGTAGCAGTGTGCAGCAGTAGCTGTGGGTTGCAAGAGAATGGTAAGCAATTTTATAGATGTCATTTTTGTAAATTCCATTTTTTTAGAGTCTTCAGACAGTTCTAGAAGCAGTACTCCAACCATGAATAATACGCCGACTCGACGGCTTCGCAAGAAAGCAATAGAAAATGCTATAGATAAAAGGCATAGGGAAAATGCAAAGACAAGATAGATTTTTACACTGAGAAAAATGGATCAATTAAACAAGTTTAGTACAAAATAAATTAGTTATCGGTAGTCGTTCTATTAAAGTTTAAGATAGTAGCCACAATTAAAAAAAGAGTTCTGTTACTGTATTTCTATTGCAACTAATCTAGATGTTAACCCCTATTAACTTTGTTATTAATTTAGAAGCACGTTTAATACTATCAATCAACTTCGTATTGTAAAACATGGTATAATAGTCGGTACAAATGTATTTACTTGCTATTCATACATGTATAATTCCCAGTATTAAACAGATTAATTACAGTAAATGAAAAAATTGAATGAATTGCGAGTTGGCTGAATTTGCACATTTCTTTCCGACCGCCTCAGGCATCGGTGCTGTCAGCATGTGTGTTGCGTATTCATTATTTCAATTATTTCATTCTGTACTGTATTCTGTTCTGTAATCTTCAGCGTGTAGGTGTAAGGTCCACAATTCGTTATCTAGTACTGTACTGGTGGTTGTTCTCTGTGTATTGTACGTAATATTTACGTAATGGAATTCATTAAATTGCTATCCAGTTGGGGATTTGATGAAGAACTCTGTCAAAGATTTCTTGGTAAGTAAACACTTTTTATTTCTAATCATGAGGCGTTGTAAGTAATAAGTTATAATAGCACAGCACAGAGCTACATAGTATAGGTGTGCAGCGAAATAAACCTGCAAGCAAAAAACAAAACAATCCCATCCCACAGAATTCTATTTTGAGACTTGCTTTGCTGTTAATTCAAAATTTCAAACGCGTAATTTGACGAACATTTTAACTGCATTTTTTCTAGTCATCATGTTAATTGTTTTTGATTCTGTTTCCATTGCATACCTACACAGTAAAAATTTGGGTGTTAATTTTTACACTGAAACAACACCCATAGTGGTTCGTATTTATCCACACTGATCAGTGTCAACAACATTTACTTCTGCGATGGTAGGATGTGTGACAAGTTTAACCATTTTTAATGGTTCAAATGATAAAATATGTATACCATTACAACACCTTTAAACAGTTATAAAAATGTACATGAAATGTTATTAGATATTTTATGAGAAAAAATGACTAGCATAAGTGGTTAATAGACCAATCTTTAGTGGTTGCAAAAAACACGCACACAATGTTTTTTACAAAATGTGAGGGTTACAAACATCCTGTAATTGACTATAAAAGATATTACGAGTGTAAAATTACCATAACCGTTGTGTGAAAACCATCAAATATAATATGATTAAAACACCTTTTTACTGTAAGGAAGATCTTATCCAAGTGTTGCAATAATGTATTTGAGTGTAAATATCATTCTTGTTCTGTGTAAAAATAATTGCACTTTGTGGTTGCAGGATTTTTAATCCACTGTTTAGGTCCAAGCAAGTAATTTCGATTTTAGTAGTAACAAATAAAAAAACAACATAATAAAATAATCTTTTATTTTGAAATGAAAATATAGAAAACCAAACAATACTCTAAAGAAAACCTAACACGGACTAATCTTATGTATACCTATAGAATATATAGATACCTAAATATCTACCCTCTCAACATACTAAAATAATGTTTTACATAGGTACTAATCCATAATACATAGAAGTATAATACAAAAATAACACATTAGATTTGTACAAATATATGTTTAGGTACTATATAATATGAACTAGAAACCGTTTTGCACTCATATGGTTCCTTGTAAACTAGTAATTTTGGATCGCAAATAGAAATTTCAATTGAGGGTTTAATTAGAAATGCATTTAAACTTTCTTTAAACTCTTTAGTTTCCCAGGATTTTGTTATAAAAAATGGCTGTTCATCTATTAGAATAATTTTTATTATCTCTTGAAAGATAGGTAGCTGGCCATTAACTTTTACGCAAACTAAGAAAGAGGGTTTATAATGGAAACCACATTTCAAGAATCTAGTTTCGTTAAGAGTGACAGAATTTGGAACGTCTAATTCTTCAATAATAACATCTTTAAATTCGTAGTTACTCAAATCAAAGTGCTTGACAGGCCCGAAGGTCATATGCAATTTATAAAGTTTATGGGTATTTATACTTTGCTTTATTTGATGTCTTATAGACAACGTTTGTGGAAGATTCTTAAAATTTTTCCCCTTATTTACTAAATCTTTGAAATATCCATGCTTTGATTCAAATCGCATGGCCCATAAGTGTATAAGAGGGCCCATATTCCTAATCGCTTGTGGATAATGAATCATCATATGGTGCTTAGGCAAAATGTTTCCGATGTATTGTTTAACTAAATGATGATGTTTACAAATTAAATTCTCTAGGACATACGTCATGGCAACTGGTATTATGGGGGCAAAAGATATATTCATTATTTCCAACAGTAAAGTAATTATATTCCACCTTTCATCACACTTTGGAATTACATCAATTAGTATTAAAGGTAAATATCGCACAAGAGTCCATGTTTGAGCTGCACGTTCTCCTATATTGGCACCAGATTTTTCTATGTTAACAGGACTTGGTTTTGTACATTGATCGATAGAACCGTAATTGAAGAAAAAAATTCTTTGATTGACTTCATTGAGAGAGATAATTTTTTTGGATACTAAATAAGATAATATAGATTTAATTTCAAATTGAGCTACGCCTTCGAGAATATCATGCATGATATCTACTGATGATATATTCCCCAAATTAAAATATTGTAATTCATTTAAAACGCTTTTTGCTTTAATTCCGTAATAGTTAGAACCGACTTCGATTTCGGGCAAGGTATTAAAAAACTCTTGATTTCTGGCACGGCAAAGTGGATCCGACTCATTAAAAATAACTTGGGTGTCGCTTTTATGCATTAAACACATTCGACAAAAATAATTTGCGCTAAATGATTCAACCATACCCATTAAAGCATTGCCGCCAAGATTGTCAAAACTGAGTGCAACTAAAGTACCCTTTAACTTATACGGAAGAAATGAAACTTCAATACCGTCCCTTTCTAAAATTTTTAGATCTGATACAAGTGGTTGTAAAAATTTGTTTATAGAGTACTTTTTCAAATCTGATGAGTAAAATAATGCCGCAACATGTATATTATCCAATTGTCCTAAGTACATTGTGGGGATATTTCTTATATTAAAATAAAATGCACCAATTTTGTGAATGCCAGTTTTCGAACCTAAAGGCGCTGTACATTCAAATTCGTCAAAATACAGCTGAATAAGAATTGCATTCGGATTTTCCTTAAATAACGGATTCTTCTTGTAAGAATCGCTATCGAAAAATGTCTCAAAATGATCGCTTTTCACCAATGACCCATAGTCTCTTGTAAAATATTGTTGAATATTTTCATTCTGCAATAATGCAGACAAAGTATTAAGGATAGGAATGTATGTAAAAGTATCCGTAACATTCTTTTCAATATAGGTATTACTAGCTTTATGAAGTATTTGATCGCTTCTCACACCTACCGCAACTTCTACAGGTGTAACAACAGAGTTAGAAAAAAACTTTTTAATTTTGTAAACCGAATTATACTTTTGAATAGAAGCTGTAATTGTATTGAAAAAAATGTTACAATTTTGGTTATCGTTTTGTGACAAAATGTCAAGCGTATCTTCAAAAACACAGTTCATCAGCTCATCGACATTGTCTACTACTGTAACTATTGTAGAAAGCGGCATTCCCATCGACATTAATTTTGAAATAAAAGAAATTATATGAACACTAATATCAGACGCAATTGTTTCAACACTCATCCCATGTGTTCGTTCATTCAAATCTGAAGGATGGGGGTCCCCATTTCCTTCAGATTGATCACTGGGGTTGATATTACTATCCTCCGAAGTAATACTGCAGATAGTATTCCTGTACACCTCTGCATTTGTACACTCATCTATGAAATCATCATTTCTACATAAAACATTAACAGAAGGTTTAATAATACATTTAACCAAATGTTTTTTGTATCCACAGTATGTATTAAATGTGGAGGCGCATTGATTGTTGCAACATTTCAAAGAAAGATTTTCACGAGAACTACGGAAATGCCAAAGACGTATGTGCTGTAATAATTTTGTGATTTCTGTAAATGTTCGAAAACATATGACACACTTCAGATCCATTATTACTTACACGATTTTATTAATTTATCAAATAAAATTTAATAAAATATTCCACAAACTTTGTCTGTGCGTCTTTACTTCAATACTTTTTCAATAATAGTTTTAAGTAAAATACCCATTAAAATTGTATTCAAAAATTGAGAATCCTATTCTTAAGCTCCCTCATTTTAGTGGTATAATGGATATTATCCGTCTCTATGTTATAAAAAAAATCCTGAATAAAAGTAAAAAATGTTTCTAGTCCAACATCAAATTTGATTTTAAATACGAAATAAGTTTTAAACAGAAAATCAAACGCTTGCAAAATTGAGCTCTGACCTGTTTCTAAAAATTTGTTATCTACGACTACTTTAAAATCATGAATTGCTGCCTTGTTAGAACCAATAGCGATTAGGTAAGGTTGACTTCCTTTTGCGGCACCTATGATGGCTTCTAGTGGATCTCCAACCTAAAAGAGATATTAGTTAAGTAATCGATTTCAAAAATACTGCAAAAGTTTGAAATTATATTGACTAATCTAAATGTATGTTGTATCGTCCTTTAACTATTCATTTCTTAAATTAAAATTAAACGAACTCGGAATGACTATTAAAAGATACTTACTTTCCAAAAATCAAACGTATTTAAATATGAAATACTTTTTTAAGCAACATAAGCAAATACTAAATACAAATACTTTAAAAAGAGAAGTATTTATCTACTTTAGAAAGTATTATATAATAATAATAATAAAGTATTTAGAAAAAAGTAAATGCTTCCCAAAAGTATTTAAATACTCCAAAACTGCTAAAAGTATTTGCGCTTTCAAATAAGAATTTCAAATGCTTCCCAGCTCTGTTGTGGTATATAGGTAGGTACTTACCGACGAAAATACTATTAATTTCTGAAACAAAGAATTCAACGTGTCCCTGGAGTAGCCACCAGATTTTCTTCCTTTAGCGGTAGAAGGCAGCATATGAAGGATTGCAAGTAGGGCTTGTGTATTCTTGTCCCAAGCTATAATTAATACTTTAGACTATTTCTGAGACACACATGATAAATCGGTAGATACCTTCAATATCCGTTGATTTGTTAGAAATAGTTGCTTCATACACAGCTAGTATCTTGTTCACGTATTTTTCAAATTCAATATCAAATTGGTTGGCGTTTGGGTACAATAAGGTAAAATCTTGTTCAATCTAAAAATATATATAATATTACAATAACACACTATGAAAAACTAAATATGAAAGCATACAAGCCCTGGCGTGTCTAGGAATCTTGGGTAGTCATTAAGTGAAAAATCATTGTTTATTCTGCAGTCTAGGGTATTTTTCATTTTTTGAAATATTTCATGTTTTTGAGTTTTAGTGCACGCATTTTTCAAAAACTCTATATCAGCAAGCTCTTGCTCTTTTAATGTATGCGAAAGCTTCCTTTTTTTTGGATCGTTCGTAGTAATTGCCAATTGTTTTCTTTTCTTATGAAAACTGGGCATGGTTCTAACAACGGTCCTCAACCTCCAAGCTAAATACCCACTAGGAGTTCGTTGGGAATCATCATAAAATATTTCCTAAAAATATGGAATGAGTAAAAAAATTTGCACTTCTATTAAAATAAGGTAGTATAGAATATTTAATATTTCAAAGAATTTGAATATTTGAAATATGTTATTTGTTAATACTATATTCTCATAACAGTGTGTACCAAATATTTTTTTTTACTAAATTTTATGGAAATTGTAATGGAGACTTTATTCATTTGTTAATGAATAAATTTTGTTAAAAATATATTAGTTTGTAAGTATGCATTCACTTAAACGTTAAACCATTAGGTACACCACTTTGTTATAGCCAAAAATGTGTACAAAAAGCATTAACATACATATCCTCCCTTGGTACTGTTTGGGTCCTTTAGCTTGGGAAACAGTTCAACAAGTGCTTTAGCAAATTCCACTTTAATTTCTTTCGACAAAGAAGTTCCATAATTTTTTATCATCATGCGGACCGTTAAATTAACTAACTCTTTCCGGGTCCGGTTTGTTAAAATTTTGTTTTTGTCATATTCCTCCAAAATGTTTTCTCCCCCATTATTATGTAAAAATTCTTTTAGCATCTGAAACAATATTTAAGAGATATAAGTAACTCCCTTGTCTAAATGTACCATAAAAAATACAGTAGGTGTAAGATAATGGTAAATTTTGAGACAATTTTTATCTAATTACCTTTCCATTTACATGTTCATTTTTTGCCCCTGCGGCATAATCTTTATCGATTTTTGGAGGAATAACAAATCCATCTTGGTCGATATTAAGCACAAATACGTTGTTTGGATCTGGATCAGATTCTTTTTCGGCATTTTTCAACCACTCCTCAATTTCTATGGCGGAAGGAGTTTCTTTGGTCAAGGATAGGGTAGAATCAGAAGATGTAAGTTCCTGATGTGTGTGTATTCCACCTATTTTTAGGACGCAGTTAGGAGTACTGAGATAATCGTGAATACAATCCTCCTCAACCACAGTACCCTCTAAATCAGTAAAAAAAAATGTCGCTAACTAACTCTTCACTGATGTCAAATTTGGTTCTGGCTAAAAAACAACTATATATTAGTTTTTTTGAGGTTTCAGAAAATCAACGATTCATTTTGTTCAAAATATTCAGCATATTTAAATTAGATGTTTATAAAATTTGTTTCGTTTGCCATAGCAAATTTTCTTCATTTGTTTGTCGTTCGATTGAAGCACTCCTCGCTACGCTCGTCGTGCTTCAAACACACTCGTGTGATAATACAGCGTCTTATTAAACTTGTATAATAATATACTATTTTTCAATGGCTATGGAATCAAACCTCTTCAAATAAAAAAATCGGATGTGGCCATGCACATGACTTTACCATACTTTAAATCATTTTACGAGTATAATATAACATCACATACTTTCCAAATATGTCAAAAAGTATGGCATTTATGAGAAAAACCATAGAATGCAAAAATGTTCTAAATTAAATTTTGAACAATTTTTTCAAAATTTTGGATAAGAGTAAGCCCCAAGTTTCCGTGAACCAATTTCAACTAAAACCTAATCAACTATAAGTCTCAACATTAGTGTACTAAATATGAATTTTGGTTTTGAAATTCTTACTAGTTTTTGAGGTAGAGCGCGCACAAAATTTGACCACGCACACATAGACACACACACACAGACATCTTTCAAAAAAGGTCTTATTTGTTTTAGGGGACCCCAAAACGTGTAAATCTGTCAAAATTAAAATTTTTTTTGCACGATTACAATACTTTTCCCTACTTCGTATGGTAAAGTAAAAAGTTCAAACAAAGTGAATTGGAAAATTCAGTTTTTTCAAACGAACGAAGCAAATTCAATATGCTGAATATTTTATTCCGTTGAACCGAATCGCTATATCTTCCATGCTTAAAACGATCGCTTGGACACATTGTATAGTACCTACATAAGATTTGAAAAACGCTGCATTATATTTAGAGTGTTGACTTACGTTACTTACGTTAAACCATTGGTTAAACTTACTTTTGTTCTCCCAGTATCAAATAGTACCCAGACCAATTTCGGTCAAAAATTTTTCTTAACTGGGAGTAAAATACACTCACCTCTTGACCTCTGTAAGGTTTAGGTAGAGCGAAAATGGCTTTATGATTGGATAGATTGGTATAATATTATGTAGGTAGGTTAAGGTAGGTACCGACAAAGAGCAACAGCCAGACCTTTCTACAAAAGGTCGTACTCTTGGGAGAGTTTTAAAGATTAGCAATGAGAAAAATGGATTTTCAGCTAACTGCTAACACGTAGGACTCTTAGAGAGTATGTCAGGATGAGTTATGTTAATCTGTGTAAGGTGTAAGCTATGCTATATGTAGATACCTATAGTACCTACAGGTATTTTATTAAAAATAACGTAATACTTTGTTAGATATCTTGGTCATGAAATATGAATTTAACTATATTGCGATAGTGCACAAAAATGCTTCATAATTTAATTTTCTAATTCCTTGGACGTTAAAAAGAGGGGTCGGGGACAAGAGAATGCTCGTAATATAAGGAATTACGAACGATAGTGTGGCGACCTAGGTTAATGAATTACGTCATCAACCTAATGAAAGTCTCATAGGAAGGTGAGCGAAAATAGCATCATAATCTCATGTCAGTGAACGTTAATTAAAATGCACAACAAATGAACAAACACTGCATTCTTTTTAACGCGTTTCATTCATACAAACCGACTCTCCTCGTCGTGACATACCATGGTATCAAATAACCAATCAGAATAAAAAATGATAGGTATAGCCAACAGTTCTGATTAAAAATGTTTACTAACTTCGTTAACGCCTTACGAAGAACGCTAGGGTGAATGCCAATATAAGATAGTTCATTTTCAGTTTCACAACTACGACTTTTTGTATATTGTGCTATGAACTCGTGCGTTGCAATATGGGATGGGGTTGTAATTTTCAAAGATTACTTACGTATCTAACATATTATGCCTATTTACGAGTAAGTTAGGTAACTACTTACCTAGTTGTACTATGTCGTAGTACGTAGCCTCTGCGCCAATTTTAGCGAATTTGCTTTTGTTTTCAAGCTGAATCTTAAACATTTTAATCACATCACAGCACATCGCACTATGACTACATCCGCGCTCCGGACCGGTAGCTTAAGACTGCTGATTTAAAATGGAACTGCTATTCCAGGCAAATTTTGCATTTTCAACACTCCTGGGTGTTAAATTTGTTCGTGATTGTATTAATAACACGGTATGGTGTTAGTAGCAACAACAATACTGCGAATAAAGTTTGTGTAAGATGACTTTGACACTAGTAAAATGCTGTAAACCCAATTTTTAATAAATGAACATCCTAAAAACCTTTTCTTGAATTTTTTTTTGTTAAAGTCACACGCAATGTGTGCATAGTAGTGGGTGTTAATAATGAATGTTAGTATTACTTACAAGAGTGTAAAAATTAACACTCGTTTACTTAACCACTCAAAGAATCTTATTCTCCATTACAACATTTTTTACTGTGTATTTGTTTAGTAATGTATACTTAAAATTTAAAAAAAAAAGCTTTTTTATCTCAAGTAATTTAATTATACATTTTTAGATGAAGGCATCAACGATGAAAGTTTCTATTTGCTTGCTGAGAGCACTATGATTGCCTTAATGCCTAAGGCTGGGCCGCGTTTGATTTAAAAAAAAAAGTATCAAGCACACATTTGCCAGACACCAGAGACAGATTACATAAACGAGGTATGTTGTATATATATATATATATATATATAGTTTTCACTCTTTAAAGATTTGGTATAATGGGTGCAAGTACATATTAAATGCTTGAAATTAAATGTACCTATAAAAATTAAAAAAATTTGTTATTGTATAATTTTATAATAATTTTTAATTTTATTTGCTTCTTATAAGAGGTAAATTTTGGTTTTTTAAGAGTAGTACTTATAAAAATGCAAATTGACACTTATTTTATACAAATATAATATACAAACTGTTTTTATTTTTTATAGATCTCGGTTATCCCATCACCATCTGCAGGGTCTAGTTCTGTGTATACTGATTCTACGACTTCAAACGTTTCGTTTCAAACAGCAAGTGTACCTTCAAGCAACGTTTCATTCCCTTCATCTCAAGACTACATTTATGAACCTGACGACCAGCTGCTAGGATTATTAAATGCACCACTGAATTCGCAGATTTCTCAAAAGCAACAATTAGCAGAAATTGTTACTAAAAAACGGAAATCATCAACTTTTACATCAGCAAATGTATGTATTATAAAATTTAAATGTAACTTTTTTAATATAAAGTGTTTCCTCAGAGATTAGAGGATTTGCTCCGAAAACATCCAGATGGTAGAATATTACTATTAAGTAAAAACAAATTAAACAATGATTTGAGACAAAAACTATGTAAACTGGTAGTAAATGATTTACTTTCTTCAAATGAAACATATGAGTAAGTTTGAAATGGTTTAGTATCGTGTGAATAACATTTATTTTATTAGAATAAGAAGAGAACAATTTATTAAGGCGACCGATGACATTGTAGAACTATTTCCGTTTGAACTACGAGAAACATACTATGTTCCATATTCTTCTAAAAAGACTGGGTTACGGATGCCAGCAAGAGGCAAGTTATGGTGCCGTTATTTAAATGTTAAAGCAGCATTACGTATGGCAAATCAATCATTAATTAAATTAGATACACAGCCGTCTAATGACAAAGAGAATCAACCTGAAAACATAGTCGATGATATTCAACAAGATTTAATCTTTTTAAAATCTGCAACTGAACCTCATCTTCGTGTGCTAAATGCTTGGGAACAAACTTATCAAATCAGATACAGATTGTATTACAACACACCAGGGCCTCGATTCTTGAGTACAGTAGAATAGAACGTTCCCCGACGATTATTCCCTCGTTTTGTTCTCTCCTCAACCTTACACGCTATTCTGTACTTTTGGGGAGTAGAGCTTTTCGATAGAACGCACAATGCAGCGTTGCCAAGGTTCTCAACCAATCACATGTTGGCATTTACGTAAACAACTACCTAACCTCTATTGTACGTACTTTAATGTGTATTACATTTTTGGTTTTATTTTCTATTCATAACGTTTACGTGTGCTTACAACTATAGACTTTATTATGGATGCAAGTGATACGACTCAAAAAAAATGCGGCAGTATAAATGCTGCTCAAAAGCAGACATTAACAGATTTTGTGTTCGAACACAAGGAAATGTATGTGGGAAAATTTACAGCTACATACACAAAGGCGGTAAGCGAAAAACTATGGCAAGAAGTAACGGTCCTGTTAAACAGTATACCCGGAGGTCCAAGTAAAGATTGGAAACTTTGGCGTAAGGTAAAAACTGTGTTTATAAAATGCTTTATAATTTATGTACGTTACTTTTAGACCTGGATTGATTTAAAAAAAAATACCAAGGCCAAATTGTCTCGGGCCAGGAACTACGCTGCAGGTACAGGGGGTGGTCCGCCCCTACCTGAGATTGATACATCCACTGATTCCAAAATATTGGAAATTTTATCCCCCGTGTGCGTAACTGGTGATAAAGACATCGTGGAATCGCAGGTGATTTTGGATGATGAAATGGTTAGTATAATCATCGTGTTTAAGTGCAATTTTGCATAGTTATATTATTGTAGCACCCTGTGATGGATGTGGATATGGAAAATAAATATATAGAGGTTCCATCAGTCACAATTGATGTTCCATGCGCCTCCACATCAACAGCCAATGATGTACCTACCTGTACACCTGTGCATGAGAGAAATACTCCAAGAATGAAAAAAAGTTCAAAATCGGCAAGACTTCACTCTTCGATTGCAAACCACGATAAATTACTCAAACTAAACCAAGAAAAATTGGCTATGGAAAGCGACTACAAAAAACGGAAGCTGGAAATTTTAGAACAAATGATGAAGGATAAAAGAAGTTACCAAGAAAAAAAAATTGGATATTCTTGAGGTAGCCTCAGACGCAATTATAAAAATTGCAGATAATTTAAGTGCAATGCAGGATTAATGTAATTTTATTGAATATTAGGTTTAACATTTTTGTATTAACACGTTGAGTGCCACGAGAAATTTTTGAAAATTTTTTATCGGGCCAAAAACTATTTTAAGCATTTTCGGATATGTTCTGGCGGGTATAATGGCAAAAAGTTATAAATATCATGATACAGTGTGTAAAGCGATGGGGTATACAAGAGGGAATTCTTTTTAAATATTGATTTATGAAAAAATTTATTCTTCATGATATTTTTTGCTTGCTTTGAAAGTACCAATAACGTTTCGATAATCTAAAATTTATTTATAAAAATTTGGAAAAATAATAAAATTAATTTTTTTTAATTGAAAGTTATCATTCTACATTATAATTAAGATAGAGTATTACTATCAAACCACAAACAATCGAAACGTTATTGGTACTTTCAAAGCAAGCAAAAAATATTATGAAGAATAAATTTTTTTCATAAATCAATATTAAAAAAAAATTCCCTCTTGTATACCCCATCGCTTTACACACTGTACATTTGTTTATTTAAAAATAAAAATAATAAATTTAATAAAAACTGCTGCAACTACCGAGTGGTCCCTAGGGACCGCCGTGGCCCTATCAGATATGTGACGAGCGGCCCCCACGGACCGCTGCGGCGCTAAACGTGTTAAAGATGATTTTGTATTATATTTTGCTGTAATCTCCTTGCTGCTATAAGATCAGGGTTTATCCCACCGGGTTGACCTCTCACTTCTGCTGCAAAAATCCCGTAATCGGGATGATCTATAAACTGGTCGTAACGGAGCTCCGGGACAGCATATGCAATACACATATTGTGTAACACAACACAAGCATTGACAATACGTGCAGCTACTGTCGGAGTATAATGTAACACTCTGTGCCGTAACAAACATCGGAAACGATTCTTTAACACCCCATTACACCTCTCAATTAAACTGCGAATACTGCATATCCTATCATTGAAACGTTCTTCCCCACCTGCTTGTGGGTTCGGGATAGGTGTCAGCAACCAAGGACGTGTAGGATATCCTATAATGATATTTATTATTTACTTTGTACAAAATGTACCTGAATCGCCTAAAAGGTAAAAAACATTACGCGCATCTCGACGGTACATTGCTTCCATGACTTGAGACACTGCGGAATGTCTCCAAATATAAGCATCATGAGTGCTCCCCGGAAACCTAGCATTCACATTCATGATACGTAATGATTCATCACATATCTACAAAACATGTCACATCATTTACATATTCAAGGCCTGGCCTACCTTCTGTCAATGAAAAGGTACTACATGCATTATTAAATCAGCACTACATATTACCAATTGAACATTTAAAGAATGGTAATTTTTCCTATTAATGTAAGCTCTCTCGGCATGTTCTGCATCTTCTACGAAAGGGGCAATTATTGCAATGTGGGTGCAATCGATGCAGCCGATTACACCTGGGAAATGATATTTGTCATAAAACCTAAAATAAATGTACCTACCTATATAGCTCTATCTATAGGTTAAATGCCGTAGACAATCACCTGCGCCTTAAACTTTCAAAGTCTGCCAGATTTCGAGGAAAATGTACCCATGCATTAAATACCTCTGGTGCATTTAGGGCTTCGCAAACTTCAGAAATGCACCTACTCATGCTGGCTTGACTGATACCAACATATTCACTTGACCCTGTTAGTTCCTGATAACTGCCCGTAGCCAGAAATCGTACTGTTGCTAGTACCTTAAAATATGTTAGATATATGAGAAACATGATAGTCGCAATTTCTATTCACCTTTGTTTCTACACTTAAAGCAGACCTACGAGTAGGCTGTTGTAAATGAGGAGTTAATGTCTCTATTACATCTCGCATCAATGGTTTCGTTAACCTGAACAACTTCACAAATTTTTGGTCAGACAGCAAGAATGGATTTTTTCTAATGAAGGTTTCTCTTTCCAATTGTTGTTCTTGTTCGGCATCCTGAATATTATTGATTATCTGATCCCACAAAATTACATCCTCTAACTCCATTACAGCAAACACTATGAAGTTTAGAAACAATCAAATATAGTAAAATCTGAGGGAATCCTTCACTCGACGGTAAAATAGATAGGTTATGCGAGGTTCACTACTAAACTCCCTACAAATTGGTAATAGAACAGTTTTCATCCCCGGGGAAACGCGTGGGAGTAGAAAGAACAGTCAAGAATACAAATTTGCGACAGTGAGAGAACCACGCCCACTTTCTCTCGGTAGTTCTACTCCCCGAAAATCAAGAATCAGGGCCCAGAAGGAGATAATTTGTTTGATATTTTTCCATGCTTGAAATGTTCATATGGTTTAGATTTGGTAAGGGGACTCAAATGTAATTAATTTTTTTAAATACTGATTTACTTTTTTTAGTTGGAAACTGATTTTAATCAAAAATATCCAGACAAAATTGACATAATTTATTCAACGTGGCCCAATGTTGCACAAGCTATATTAAAAGAGGTTAAAGAACGGAAAATTGAGCCACCTGCTAATGAAGGTTTGTATGATTTTAATGAAAAGTGCCTCAATTTTTATTTTTAATATTTGATTGGAATAAAATATAGTTTGAGTAATCACAAAAATAAATATTTAGATGCAGCATGTCGCATGTTTAAAATATTTTATTAAATTATTTTTCCTTATTCTTGTTTTTAATTGCAGATATATCTACTCAAGCGCTATTAATACTGCCATACCTATTCTCTCCAGTTACACTTAAAAAGAGCACCAAGGATCCAAGAAAAAATTGGCGACCTACACGAACAGAAATTCAGAACAGTTTCTTCTTTGCAGTGAAGGTTAATTAAGACAACAGTGTTCTGTTTACTAATGTTCATTTTAGGATAACCTTGAATTGCAAGAAGTGATCCAAAGAAGACAAGCACAATTAGCCCATATAGCACACGATGTCCATTGGATATCCATTTTGTTTCCATGATACATCCAGTATGTCCATGGATATCAGACGGACATTCATTGAATATACTTTATTGTAATTCCTATGGACAAATGCGGATGTATGTCCATTGGTTATCCTTCCATGTTATTACTTTGACGAAAGATTCATTGAATATCCACTGGATATAACTCCAGTGGACATACTATTTTATATAATAATGTGACATATGACATACGTAATATAATTTCTGTTTATTGTGTGTCAAAGCATGGCACTAAAAAAATATCGATTTTCGTATTAGAAAATAGTACTGTTGAAGATTTCAAATTTCCCATACTGGTGACGTCACGTCCACGCGACGCCGATCGGGCCGATCCGCATGCGCATCGCATCTTGTATAGACTACAGATAGATCGCGTGTTGCTATAAATAACAGTTTTCCGCCAAAAAGCAAAATTTTAGATTTATTGTGTATAGTGCAGTAAACATTTGGTTTTCCTATTAAAGGTAAGAACGTTTTATTTATTTAATCACTAAACGTATGCTACGCACATCTTAATAATTATTTGTTTGTGTGGCAATTTGACATAACCTCAATATTATATACCGGGAAATTGCATTATGCCGAAAATTTTACAAAAAACGTACAGAAAAGCGAGAGACATGGTCGATGTTTCAATATACATGGCCTCATCTTCTACTTCATCTACTTGTAATAATTCAGATGTAAAAAAAATACCGAAATACCTCATAGATCATTAATTGAAGACGACGGTTCAGATCATATGCAATTATTGATAACAAATCAATGTGTCTACCAAGAATCAGTTATTGATGTGAACACATCTACTTCTTCATTGTTCAACTCAGATTATTCATCTGATTCTGCTACATCCGAAGATGAATCGAGGCATTTTGATAACGACGCCGATGACCACGACTCTACTAAAGTGGAGATGGGTAATAAGCCAATCGATTTGAATTCACAAATAAGTGAATGGGTATTCAAACACAACATTACTTTGTCGGCTTTATCAGATATTTTAAAAATCTTTAAAAATGGTGGCGATTACAATAATTTGCCATCAGACGGTAGGACATTATTGAAAACTCCTAGATGTGTGTTAAAAGAATTGGTTAATCCAGGGGAGTATTATCATTTCGGTTTGTTAAATTGTATAGAAAGACTTCTTGCAAAGTACAAACTTTCCCATTCTTTAAAATTAGTTGAAATTTATGTAAATGTTGATGGCTTGCCGATATCAAAAAGTTCTTCTAGCCAGTTATATCCAATACTGTGCTCTCTTGTTCAAAATCCTCAACACGTTGAAACAATTGGACTTTATCATGGAAACGCAAAGCCTGATACCGCTAACTGCTATCTTAGAAAATTTGTGAATGAAGTAGTGTATTTAACGAACAACGGTTTCATTAATAATGGCCACTTCTACAATTTTAAGATTAAAGCATTAATTTTTGATGTTCCCGCTAAATCATTTTGCACTGGTACTGTTGGGCACACAGGTTATAGTTCCTGTTCTAAATGTAACATTCGAGGGATATACCACAATAATAGAGTCTGTTTCCCCCCTGAACGTGATATTCAACTTCGTACACATCATGACTTTATTTCTAAATCTGATCCTGAACACCATGCAAACACTTCAATCTTGGAAGAAATACCAGATTTTGATATGATACAAGACATCCCCCTAGATTACATGCATTTAATTTGTCTTGGGGTTATGCGTAAATTACTTATTCTTTGGACAGGAGCTGCTAAACCTCCCTCTAAAATGTCTTCAAGAGATACTAAAACATTATCTGCTGCCCTAGTAAACAACTCTAGCAATGTTCCATGTGAGTTTGTACGAAAATCTCGATCTCTTGAAGAACTTAAAAGATGGAAAGCGACTGAGTTTAGACAGTTTCTTTTGTATACAGGGCCTGTATTATTAAAAGATATTGTTAGTAGGGACATGTATTTAAATTTTCTATGCCTACATGTAGCTGTAACAATTTTATCGACAAAAAGGTACATCGCTGTAGATCTTGATTATGCTCGTTCTTTGCTAGTATATTTTGTGCAGACGTATGTGACTTTATACGGAAAACAACACGTTTCTCATAATGTACACAATTTACTACATACAGGGTGGTGACTTGCGTAACGCATCATAGGAATTTCAATGTAAAATTCATAACATGCGATTATTGGCTCCCCAAATTATTTTAGAGCAAAAATGTATTAAGGTTTTTTGTAGAAAACAATTTTTTACGTCACTCAACCGTATTAGTTTTCAATTTTTTACATAATAAAGACGGAAAATTGGAAAAATAAAACCCGCATCTTTTTCAGTAATCTGCGATGCCATGGAATTTTCTAAAACAAAAAGCTAGATATCCAGTTATCAATTAGCAGCAGTTCGAAATGGATTTTATGATCGACTTGGTTACTGTATTGCAGTTAATAGTGACTTATTCGAACATTTATTGTAAATTGTTATATTAGGAAACCGTTTTTAGTAATTTGGTCTTTCTTTATGTTGAATTCGCTGTTCTAAATATAATACTTTTTGATAGAATTTGATTTCTTTTATAGCAGACATTCCATGGCATGACGGATATTGACGTAGTTTTTGTATTATAAAATTCCATGGCGTCACAGATTATTGAAAAAGATGTGGGTTTTATTTTCCAATTTTCCGTCTTTATTATACAAAAAATTGAAAACTAATATGGTTGATTGACGTAAAAAATTTTTTTCTACAAAAAAACTTAATACATTTTTGCTCTAAAATAATTTGGGGAGCCAATAATCGCATGTTATGAATTTTACATTGAAATCCCTATGATGCGTTGCGCAAGTCACCACCCTGTATAGTTGATGATGTTGCAAGATTTGGTCCATTACATAATTTCAGTGCATTCCCTTTTGAGAATTACATGCAAAAAATAAAAAAACATTTGCACAAGCAAGATAAACCTTTGTCACAAATTGTTAAACGGATGACAGAATTAAATTCAGCTACAAGTGATACACTTCCACAAGAAAAACCAAAAAAGGTCGCTTATAATGAGCATAATGATGGTCCATTATTACCGGGAACTTCTTGCCCACAGTATAAAAAACTGTTGTGTGAAAATTATGTATTAAAATTAAAAGAAGGTGATAATTATTGTGCACTGTTGGATGGAACGGTGGTTCAAATTAAAAATTTCGTAACTGGTATTGATGGAGGATTGGTTTTAATTGGGAAGAAATATCGTAATTTAGAAAATCTCTATCACAGGCCATGTAATTCATCTGAATATGGAATCTACTTAGGTAGCAATTTATCAAATCTTAAAATGTGGAATGTGAAGGAAATTGCCTTTAAGTATTTTCCAGTTTATACCTCTGTTAATCAAGTCGAGCATCAAGTTGGTCTCATTCCAATTATTCATTGCAATGAATTTTAAAACAAATGCTATCTTTACCTTTTGCGTTTTTAATAATAGGTACCTATATACTTGTTTTTTAGATAATTAATTAAAATAATTAAATTCAATTATCCAATTTAATTTATTATATTATTGTTCATTCTCATCCCACCTTGCTCACTAGTTAATATAGTATAGTTAAAGTAGCCATTCAATAATATTAGATTTTTAATGCATGATAGTGTACATACACAATTAAAATGTGTTTGCATTTTACTTTACTAATTTTTCTATTTACATGTCACAACCATCCAGCCGCGGATCCAAGGGGGGGCGATTGGGGTGACCGCCCCCCCTGAGAATTTTCGTATGAAGCAACAAATGCCCCAAAATTAAGAAAAATCGCCCTCCTTAATATTCACAGAGAACTTGTCGAAGATGACAATTTTGCACACCATGTACTTGATCGGTTTGCTAATTCCAAAAATAGAAGACTTGACATTATCTTGTAAATATTTCTTTATAAATTGCGTTAAAACTCAGAATCTTTACTTTTATTTAATCGCCCCCGGTGAAAACTTCTTCTGGATCCGCGCCTGCAACCATCAAAGTTTCAAGATGCCCAACTGGAAAATTGTTAAATTCATAAAGGATTGCACAATCGAGGCAGTTCCATGTACGTGGATTTTAGCAGAAGATAACAGTCTTTGCTACTGGCCACCGGCAACATATACAACGGAGTCTCTTACTGTAGCGCTGAAAAACCATGATGAACCCGAAGACAATTGGCCCTTATATAAGATTTGTCATTATGTAAATAATACATATGGTATGCATATTTTATGTCTTATAGTAATATTGGTAATCTCATAAGTGACAATTATTTCAGAATCATATTCTTTGGCTGTGAGTAAACGGTTAAAAGCTAAGAAAAACAATAATATCGAAAACCTCGCCTCCGACTCCGACACTACTTCCAAGAAAAAAAGAAAACATGTAATGAAAAGAGTCCTGTCTTCGTCGGATGATGACAGTGATGAGAGAGTAGTCAATTCTCGGGTCAGTTGCTTGCCGATGCCACCTAAGAAAAATGCTCGGAAAAATGGTAAACTTATCTTGTTTCGTAGTTTTCTTCCTCTTGTTTTGCGAATATGAATTATGTGTATTTATAGCATTGTGAAAATAATTTGGTTGTAGGTTCTGATACAAATGTATGCAATCATGTAAATGACGAAGTTGAGGAAGTGGATGCCCCTAGACCAATTACTAACATAGGTAGGTATTATTTCAAATTTATAGGATGTAAAATTGATAAATTGTAGATACACCTCAGCGTCCACCTAAAGATCAAAATAAAAATGGAAATACATTGGGTGCAGGTAATTAACAAGGAAATGTATCCACCAAATAGAGTATAAAATACAATTTTTTAGGTGTCTCTGATGTAAACTACTGTGAAGAATGCAGTTTGTGTCCAAGGCACAGGCAACGGGAAAACGATGCTGAAGGTTCCTATTTCTTCATATTGAAATGTGACAATACCTAATTCTTATCTTTTTAGCTGGATTGAAAATGCAGAAAGAAATATTACGGCAACAACGCCTCATTAAAGGGATGATTATGGATGTAGTAGAAGAATTGCATAGTATTAAAAACAAAAACAATTCAACAACTGAAGTTACTACGAATTCCATTTTCTCCCAATTGACATTGCCAGCCAATGATCCGAATGATTTGGTGGCACTGGAAGATTACTTAAGCGAGGAGAGCAACTTCAAAGCAGCAGTAAAAAGGTTTATTACTACTTAATGGTGTTCCACATAATATATAATTACAGGTGCATGAAAGGTCGAATGTAGGAGGCAATAATTTATATGAATTTGCGAAGCGAATTGTATCTAGTTTCATGACTGACAAAATCGCAACAAATTATACCTATTATGGACTGCGTAACAAACAAAATTTTTCAAAATTACGCCTTTGTACACTAATCTTGGGTAAGGGGTAGATTTTACACTAAAAAAAACTTATTTTTGGATTTTACAGACGCCAGAAAAATGAATAAGCAATTTGGAAATGCCTCTGTTAAAGAAGTGGAAGAGTGTGTAATGAAATGGTTGCGGAGATCAAAAGAAAGATCTGAATTCAAGTTAAAGAAAAATAACATGAATGATATGTAATTATTAATAAACGTTTATTATTAAAGGCTTCTCTGGTTAAAATAGTTTCGTTAATTTTGTTGTGGTGACTCAATATCCATCACGGTACGGAAGTGAATGTCCATTGTACATACAGAATAAATCGTGAAACTTGTCCACTGGAATTACAAAGATGATATTCATAGGATATCCAAAAAGTCAATTCTATGGATATCCATACTTGTGTCATCTGGAACTCCAATGAATATCCATTGAATGTACATTGTTTTCCATCAGGATATCCACTGGATATTACGACTGCTGGAAACTTTACTTCCATATGATATCCATTGGATATGTTTGTGCTATATGGGAGAGAACATTGATTTACCTATGCAACCATTTATTGTTATAGAAGGGGAAGATTTTTATATTTCACTCAACGACAACAAATACAAGTACGAATCTTCAACGAGGGCATTAGAAATTTTGTTTAAAGCAATCCATGCGCTGAATCTCAAATATTGCATGTCGTCACCCCAGTATTATCTTGTTCTATGTCCATTTTTGGACTTTATACAACCAAATGCTTGACAAATTTTAAAAAAATTATCTTGTTCATTATCCGTTGAAATAACAGTATTATCCTGGTGTATAACAAAGTTTTAAGTAAATGATTGGACTATATCCTTAAAATTTCGGGTACGTTATAGAATTATCTTGTTCCGTTCATTCCTTAAGAATTATTATGTTCTATAAACCATACAGCCTCATTTTGTTCTATATCCATTTGAAACCTTTATTAGTAATGTTTTGTTCTATATCCATACGCACACCATTCATTGTTTAGTTAAGTTGTTCTACGGTTTTAATTTACTCTGACCTAATAATGGACAGTGAATTTAGTTCTATTCCCCGTAGCAAACCTTCTGAATGCCCTTCGGAGGCCTGGAAGTAAGTAACATTTTGAAATAATTTCTAAATTGAAATGTGTTTGTACCTACATAACCTCAAACTTTTGAATTAATCTAACGTACCTACTTAACTTTTTCAGTGAGTTGGCTGTAATAATCAACAATGTTATTGACGAAAATGACTATCCCTGTAATACTGAACAAGTAATATTAGAAATAACTGATGTTAATGAAGATGGACACGTTATGGCAGTTACAGGTTTGGATATTGTTAACACAGACTCTTCTCCAGATGCTTAACTCTTATTTAATTTCAGAAACTGTTCAAGAAATACTACCAAATAATGTACAGACCGATCCTGATTATGTTCCTGAAAAAAATAGTGAAAGTGAAAAGTTATCTGGAAATGAAGAGCAAGTAATTATTGCCGAAGAACCACAAAACGGTTCAGACAAAGTTTTAACCCGCAAGCGAAACAGAAATCCAACCAAATGGAAACAAAATATTAGAAAGTCTAAGCGACAAAGAGGAGAAGCATATTTGGATTCTAAAGGTACTTTAAAACCACCCAAGAATGTTAAAAATGAAACATGCCATTCAGAAAAGTGTGGATTTAAATGTTCACAAGCCATTACCAATGAAGAAAGAGGCCACATTCATAGGCAATTCTGGAAACTGAACGATGAAAAAAAAGTACATTTCTACTCAAAACATATAAAACGTGTCACACCTTTAAGAAAGAGAACTGCGGAGGAATCGAGCAGAAAAAAATACAGCTACGAATACCATTTTGTAGTCTCAGGAGTGAAGATTCGGGTGTGCCAAGAGTATTTCTTAAATACTCTAAACATAAGCAAAAACAGGGTGTATTACTTTTTTAAGAAAAATAAAGATGAGGATGTACCAAACTCCCCCACCCAAGGTAAACACAAGAAAAAATTCATACCAGTTGCAAAAAAAGATGAAGTAAGATCACATATTAAATCATTTCCATCAATTGACTCCCATTACTGTAGAGCTCTGACTAAAAAAAAATATTTAGAGCGTGGTATAACCTTACGTAAAATGTATGATTTATACAGATCTTCAACGGAAAATCCTGTTAAATTCCATATGTACTCGGAGATATTTAACACGGAATTTAATATAAGCTTCTTCAAGCCTAAAAAGGATCTTTGCGACAAGTGCGAACTGTTCAAGATACTAAAGGAACCAACTGAAGAGGAAATCGTAAAACAGGAAGAACACATAAAACGCAAGAATATTGGAAAACAAGAAAGGGACAGAGACAGAAAAAAATTTATTGAGGATGACACGGTAGGGGTAATAACTTTTGATTTACAAAATACTTTTTCACTCCCTAAGGCCAATGTATCAAATTTTTACTATAAAACTAAGCTATCTTGCTATAATTTAACTGCTTATTTGGATAAAACTAAATTTGTTTATAATGCAATCTGGCACGAGTTTATTGCTGGACGTGCTGGCATTCATATCGCCAGTGGAATATTTCGAATTTTAAAACAAGTAATGGTAGACAATACAAATTTAAAAAGACTTATTTTGTGGTCCGATAGTTGCGTGCCACAAAATAGAAATTCCGTGATGACGTTTGCTATACAGAATTTTTTGAAGTCCAAATACAGTAAAGGTCTTGAAATTGTTGAACAAAAATTTAGCGAACCTGGACATGGTAATGTCCAGGAAATAGATTGTGCACATAGTTGCATAGAAAAACACATTCGAAATTTAGAAATATGGAGTCCCATGTCTTTAGTCAGAGCCCTATTGTCTATTCCTTCATCATGGAAATTTAAATTCAAAGTATTGCAAATGAAACAGACCGACTACTTCAATTTTCAGAAAATGAGTAAACTACTCAGTTATGGCACAATACCATACACTAGAGTGAAACATATTATTTATACAAAAAAAGATGTCAATAATGTAGAATATAAAGAAATGTTTGAGGGTGGTATGCATAAAACCAAAATTTGTGTGTTGAAACAACAAAATTTAACTAGACATGAGCGAAAAGATATATTATGTGACTTATATAATTTTTCATGTGATGTACCATTGGCTGATTTGGAAATTAATATATCTGATTTAAAACGACAGCACTTAACTGAAATGAAGTCATATATTCCTCATGATACTGAAAAAATCTTTTATGAAACATTGTTAGCGATAAAAAACACTCCGAAAAAAATAACCACAGAGAAAAAGAAAAACAAGCGTATTGTTACTGCAGATAAAGTTGCCAGAAGTACCAAGAGTTCAATGAAGAGGAATAACACTAAAAACAAGAAATCAAAAGAAGCAAATACCAAAAAAAAACCAAAAAAATCCACCACAAAAACAAAATAGTTTATTTTACATTTTCATTTTTTTAATAATAAATTGATATGCACAAAATATTATTTTTAAGTTTATGTTTTGAATTTTTTGAATTATCTGTTATTTTCTGTACCTACGCAATAAAGTTTAATTAAGTTTACTCTTTTTTTGAAAATATTATTACTTACGTGAGTTTAATATTACCTACTTAAAACAGAAATAAAGGATGTAGAACAAATTCATGTTATAAAAATGTGCTATATCCATTAGTTTTTCCTAAATTTACGGAAAGTGTCATTTTTGTTCTATATCCAAAATAATAAAACGCTATTATTAACAATAAATGCTCAGTTGTTATCAACGTTATATAACAGAACATTACCTATAACATGAACAATGTTTATGTAAAAAAATTTTAGAAATCCGAGATGAAGAAGGTAAGTTATAAAGAAAAATATATTCTTTTGCAGTTTCCCAAAACAGGTGTTTTGGGATATAGCGCAAGATAATACTGGGGTGACGATGTGAGTCAAAACATATTTGGCATTTTATTGAGGAAATAGTTTTTCAAATACCAGTATCAAATAAAAATACTAGTACAGCATCAGTTGTGGCAGATATAAAATTTCATTTAGAAAGCGCCTAAACTTAATGCATAATGTTTCTCTGTGGATATTGTACAAATACTTTTGCTGACATTAAGGCTCTAGTGTGTCATTTAAAACATCTGCATGGTTTTGATAATAGTTCAACATTTAAGTGTGGTGAATTAACTTGTTTCAGAAATTTTACAAATTTAAACTCCTTCAAGAAACATTTGAAATCTCACAAAAGTATTGATTTAACTAGACTTGATCCTAATCAGGCTAATATTTTTGTAACAAAACCCGTCAACACAGTGCACCAAAACAAAGACGGTAATAATATACGTAAATTCTCCTATTCAGATACAGAAACAGAAATAAATGATGCGGAACCTTCATGTTCTTCTGTTAAAACAAGTGATGCTTTCAAATTCAATCTGTTTAAAGAGAAGCTAAATCAAAATGCTATTAATTTTGTCACATATTTTTTTAATGAATCTACATTAAACCGGAAAAATGTACAAGTAATAATCGAGTCTGTAGATAATTTACTACGGGAACCACTACAATTGTTTGAGTCAGAGTTATTAAATTTTATTGCTGATAATAACATTCATGATAATGAAACAAAAATAATCACCAAGTATTTTTCTCAGTTACGCAACATATTTAAAGATTTGCATACAGATTACCTTAGACTAAACTACCTTGAACGCGCCGAATATTATATTAAACCAATAGAATACGTAGTTGGAGATCGCTTAGACACTGTTTGTAATGGTATTGGTTTACCTAAAACATATAAAAGTCAATATATTTCTATAGGAAAAGTATTAACAAAGTTTTTAGAATTGCCATCAGTTTTTTCTGAAATTATGAAATACACAAATAAATTAAAGAATAATGATTTAATTTCTAACATAATACAAACTAAATTTTGGAAACAAAAAATTATTACCTTATCTGAAAACGACATTGCTTTACCAATTTTTCTTTATTTTGATGAGTTTGAATGTGGGAATCCTTTAGGATCTCACGCCACTATACATAAACTAGGAGCTGTTTATTTTTCGATTCCTTGCGTTCCTCCAAAATATAGAGCACAGGTTGAAAATATATTTTTGAGTATTTTATTCCACAGTTCAGATCTAAAAGAATTTGGAAGTGGTATGATATTCTCGAAATTAATAGATGAATTAATATTTTTGCAGAAAGATAGGATAACTATAACTGTTGATGATAAATTTTTAAACATTCGGTTTTATTTTACTCTATGCTTGGGTGATAATCTGGGACTAAATACTATGATGGGCTTTGTAGAGAGTTTTAGAGCAAATTATTTTTGTAGGTTTTGTAAATCCACACGTTCTGAAACTGAAACAGATATTTACCAAAAAAATAATTTGTTAAGGAATAGAGAAAACTATCATACGGATGTCAATTTAAACAATGTCACACTTACAGGAATTAAAGAAGATTGTATTTTTAACAGAATACCAACATTTCATGTAACTGAAAATTATGTAGTGGACCTATCACATGATATATTTGAAGGTGTAGCTGTTTTTGATGTTTCTGAATTACTTTATTATTTTGTGTATGTCGAAAAATTATTTAATACTGCCTAGGACTATAAACCACTTATGATTCGTCGTATGATTAATAAAGGTTATTGAATCTTGGGTTTACTACAGTTAAACTGTATAATAATGGCAATCTTATTTGTTTATTATCTGCTATGCAACGCTATATTTGGTATTATCAAATGATTAGTACCTGCAAATATACTATAATCCAAACATCTTTATTAGTGATAATTAAGTTGGTGTACCTACTACTGTAGGGACTCCCATAATAAGTACAATTAAGCTAAGTCAGAAGAACAAATTTACTTAGAATAATTAAACTTTTTATCTGTCCCATATAGTATTGAACTTTTTAATTGACTCTACTTTATTTTTAATAACCGTTATTATTCATTTTTCTCAGTGTACATTGATATCAGATTAAATTCTTTGCAAACACGTACCTGTATTACTATTCATAGTACCTACAAACATACAAAGGTCAAATTATTTGCTTACCTAGATTATCACATATACACAGAGGCACCTTTAGATAACACACACAAACGGCGAATTAAATTAATCACTAAACAATACACATTAACAAAATGAATGCCGTCCACTGTCCATTCACATGCGCAATTCGCTTACGAACATGATACCAAAAAGAGCTTACGAAACTAATCGAATGCGATCCCGAACGCAAGTTTCATTTATTTGATAAATACCCGCGAATTTCAAGCGATACGTATAATAACACAAAAGTTAAATTATCTATATTCTTTTAGGAATATAGAAACTTAGTTCACTTTCTAAGTAAATTGTATTTTTCAGAAAACCGGTAAACTTACATAAATTTAGGTTTAACCAAATAAAATAATTCATTAATTTAAATAAAATACTGAAAGAAAAAGGTGTCGCATTGTTATATGTTACCATTTGAGGTCAAATATCAGATAAATCGCTTGATTACAAACATGTAGTCAGTAATCAAGAATTAATTAGGCTGTGAAGTGGGATGGTGTCATGGCCACTCAAAGTACATCCACAGGATGTCCATTTCAAGTGAGCCTATGAACGTCCACAACAAAACGTCCATAGTATTTCCATTAGTTGTCCACGGACTACTGGACTCTGTGTGGTCACTTAGCGGACGTCCATCGTACAAACAGTGCTATCTGGGTAGTGTATGTGGATAACAACACAAAAATATAGGTACATACGTATAAAACTGGACTGAGATTCAAGATTTGACGATTTCAGACGAGGGAACCTCCTGGGCAATTTGTCCTCTTCTGATCCCGACTCTGAAGAGTGCTCGGAAGACGTCAATAACCGTCTTGGAGCTTTCCTTTTCCTTTTCGCTGTTTCATTATCTGTTTGTACATCAGACGTCACTTCTGTTAATTTAATTTTTTGTAAAGCTTTCTCATAATCATCTACAATTAAAATCGACATTGCTATTACCTACTATTGAACCATCACATGCAGCTACACTTACCCTCTTCAAAAAAAATACGTGAAACTTTATATAATTTCCAAGTGGTTTCGGATGGTGCTTCGTGGTTTTTTAAAGAACGATAGTATTGTTCTTGTGTTCTGTAAGGTGGCCAAAACACCTCCTGCTTTCTTGGCGTCAACCAACTTTTATTCACAATTGCGATAGTTTCTCCCTCTTCAAATTGCACACCTATGAATGGCATTCTAAAAGTTAAGCAAATTATTTTGATACCTATTCTGAATACATACTTACATAATGTAGCTGCTTAACACACGTCGTTGAAGTTAGCATCAGCTTCAGAAATGAGAAACGAATTTTTACAGTGGACCATATAAATACTTCGAAATTATAATTTATTACTAAAAAAAATAGGGTTAAAGGGTTAGTACCCAATTGTCAAAGATATAACTTTGCAAATATTTAAAATATAAGGGTATAATCTACCCTACACTAAAAACAAAACATTAAAAAATTCTTAGAGGGTAGAAAAAAAATTGTAACAAGTTTATACTTAAATTAACATTAGATACTAATATAAGAAGTGCTATGAACGTATAGCTTTGCAAATATTTAGAGTTTAAGGGGTTAATCCACCCTAAATTAGTAAAAACATAAAAAAATTCGTAGAGGGCGGAAAAAAATTTGTAACAAGTTCATACTTAAATTAACATTAGATACTAATATAAGAAGTGCTATGAACGTATAGCTTTGCAAATATTTAGAGTTTAAGGGGTTAATCTACCCTACACTAGTAAAAACATAAAAAATTCGTAGAGGGTGGAAAAAAATTTGTAACAAGTTCATACTTAAATTAATATTAGATACTAATAAAAGAAGTGGTATGAACGTATAGCTTTGCAAATATTTAGAGTTTAAGGGGTTAATCCACCCTACATTAGTAAAAACATTAAAAAATTCGTAGAGCGCGGAAAAAAATTTGTAACAAGTTCATACTTAAATTAATATTAGATACTAATAAAAGAAGTGGTATGAACGTATAGCTTTGCAAATATTTAGAGTTTAAGGGGTTAATCTACCCTACACTAGTAAAAACATTAAAAAATTCGTAGAGGGTGGAAAAAAATTTGTAACAAGTTCATACTTAAATTAATATTAGATACTTTCTTTAATGAGTGTCCAAAATATAACGCAGAGAGACAGCGGTATAATGTGAGAGAAGATATTGTAGAAAACCTGACAAGTGAATGTCAATGTAAAAATACTATAAACTATTTGAAAAGTACTAATCTATTAACTAAAATCTAAACTACAATATTCTTACCAATAAAATGGCAAATGACCATAGCAGTCGACGCCTCAGGAGGGGTTTTAGTGGGTATACCTGGTATCAGGGAGCCCCACACTTTGTGCGTAATGCATTTCCCCTCCTGAAGAAAAAAAAAAAAAATTGCTGGAATGAACATACTTACCCCTCGGAATGGAAACAGGCAGTCATCGTCCCTATACCGAAACCAGGAAAAGATCCGCTACTGGCACAGAGTTATCGCCCTATTAGTTTGACATCTTGCTTGGGCAAACTGCTTGAGAAAATGGTTAATGTGCGGTTGCAAACACTTCTTGAAAACTACAATGTGTACGTACCTTATCAAACTGGTTTTCGGAGGGGGCGGTCAACGACTGACCATCTTGTCAGACTCACTGACAGAATTCTAAGGGCGTTTGACAGTGGCGAACACCTGGTTGGGGTATTCTTTGATATTAAAGGCGCATTTGACATGACTTGGAGATATGGAATACTCCAAAAACTCTTTAAGTATCATATACGCGGTAACCTACCAAAATTTATCAAATCCTTTTTAGAAAACAGAACATTCGTTGTCAGGGTGGGCGACGCCTATTCAGAGGTACAGGTGTTAGAGAATGGGGTGCCGCAGGGATCAACACTAAGCTGTTCCCTATTTGGCATTGCCATTAATGAAATAGCAATGGGTGTCACCGAGGAAATAGATAAATGCCTGTACGTTGACGATCTGATGATCTGCTGTTCTGGTAAAACAATCGGTGCCATAACCCGTAAATTACAAATGGCAATAAATAAAATATGGGAAAATGCAAGCGCTGTCGGATTTGTGCTGTCGGAAGAGAAGACTAAGGCCATTCACTTCTGTCGACTTCGTAAACCTCACTACGACCCAGTCCTGTTTATGAATGATCGAATTATAAATGTACCCCAAGAGGTCAAGTTCCTGGGGTTAACATTTGACCGTGAATTAAGATGGTCTAGACACCTGCAAAACATTGTTACCACAAGTAGGAGGTTGCTGAACATAATCAGAGTTTTAGCTCATAATAAATGGGGTGCGCATGCTAAGACTCTACTTAACATATATAGAGCATTGATTCTATCAAAAATTGATTATGGTAGCCCTGCCTACCTCACATTCGGTAACAACACTTTATTAGGAGCACTAGATAAAATCCAGAACCTTGCAATAAGGTATTCTCTTGGAGCATACCCAACAACTCCTGTCGCCTCACTTCACGTGGAAGCAAACATTCTTCCTTTAACTCTTCGCCGAAAGCAGATTCTGGTCAACTATTATCTTAAAGTGTCTCTAGATAAACAGTCACCCGAACCATCACTTGCTTACAAATGAGATCACAAATGCTCGTCTAAATAGATGTAGAACGATAGGAGAAAGAGCTAGAGAAGAACTGAGACACTTAGAACTCCATGAAGCAAATTTTGCAGATTTGTCTAAAATAGTTCGAGGCAGGCTTGTAAAAGCTCAAATAAATGACCGTTGGAGTGACCAGTGGAGGGCATCTGACACATTCTTGAAGAAGGTCAAGCCCAGCCTAGGACCACTGTTTCTTATTAATACGAATCGTTCCGCTTTGATAAAACTATATAGACTCCGGCTTGGCCATACTGCCTTGACACATGGTTTTTTGTTGGCCGGTGAAGATCGTCCTCATTGCGTAAGGGTGTGATGTAAACCTAACACCGGAGCATATAGTTTGTGTTTGTCCAGAATACCAAGATGCGCGTAACTTCTATCAAATAAGTGACATATGGGAAGAAAATTTTAGAACTGTACATAAATGCTCAGAAGTACTGCGATTTCTAAGCACCATAAATGTGATAAGTAAACTGTGATAAAATGTTTGTAATATGTCCTATGACTGTACGTTTGAGCTGAAAATCTGTGATATATATGTAACTAGTAGGTATGCATTTTAAAACTGTGATATCTTAGCTGCTATAAGTAGGAAATAGATCGGCAAATGGCCTTAGAAGCCGAAGCCTCAGGTGGGGTTTTAGTGGGTATGCCCAAATAATGGGAGAGTCCCACACTACTCCAGACCTCCATCTGGAGTGTGCGTAATGCATTTCCCCCCCTGTCCAAAAAAAAAAAAAAAAATTAGATACTAATAAAAGAAGTGGTATGAACGTATAGCTTTGCAAATATTTAGAGTTGAAGGGGTTAATCCACCCTACATTAGTAAAAACATTAAAAAATTCGTAGAGGGGGGAAAAAAATTTGTAACAAGTTCATACTTAAATTAACATTAGATACTAATATAAGAAGTGCTATGAACGTATAGCTTTGCAAATATTTAGAGTTTAAGGGGTTAATCCACCCTACATTAGTAAAAACATTAAAAAATTCGTAGAGGGTGGAAAAAAATTTGTAACAAGTTCATACTTAAATTAATATTAGATACTAATATAAAAGTGGTATGAACGTATAGCTTTGCAAATATTTAGAGTTTAAGGGGTTAATCCACCCTACATTAGTAAAAACATTAAAAAATTCGTAGAGGGTGGAAAAAAATTTGTAACAAGTTCATACTTAAATTAATATTAGATACTAATATAAGAAGTGCTATGAACGTATAGCTTTGCAAATATTTAGAGTTTAAGGGGTTAATCCACCCTACACTAGTAAAAACATAAAAAAATTCGTAGAGGGTGGAAAAAAATTTGTAACAAGTTCATACTTAAATTAACATTAGATACTAATATAAGAAGTGCTATGAACGTATAGCTTTGCAAATATTTAGAGTTTAAGGGGTTAATCTACCCTACACTAGTAAAAACATAAAAAAATTCGTAGAGGGTGGAAAAAAATTTGTAACAAGTTCATACTTAAATTAATATTAGATACTAATAAAAGAAGTGGTATGAACGTATAGCTTTGCAAATATTTAGAGTTTAAGGAGTTAATCCACCCTACCTTAGTAAAAACCTTAAAAAATTCGTAGAGGGTGGAAAAAAAATTGTAACAAGTTCATACTTAAATTAATATTAGATACTAATAAAAGAAGTGGTATGAACGTATAGCTTTGCAAATATTTAGAGTTTAAGGGGTTAATCCACCCTACATTAGTAAAAACATTAAAAAATTCGTAGAGCGCGGAAAAAAATTTGTAACAAGTTCATACTTAAATTAATATTAGATACTAATAAAAGAAGTGGTATGAACGTATAGCTTTGCAAATATTTAGAGTTTAAGGGATTAATCCACCCTACATTAGTAAAAACATTAAAAAATTCGTAGAGGGCGGAAAAAAATTTGTAACAAGTTCATACTTAAATTAATATTAGATACTAATATAAGAAGTGCTATGAACGTATAGCTTTGCAAATATTTAGAGTTTAAGGGTTACTCTACCCTAAATTAGAAAAACATAAAAACCGTAGAGGGTAGAAAATTGAATTTTCATATGGAAATGTGTAGATTTAACAATTATCGCATCAACATAGTAATCCTTGCTTGAATAACGTTCTCGAAGTTTTGATTATTCCAAATATACTCGTCGCTGTTCTGATGACTGTGGCGTTTTATTTGCGGAAGTCCTTGATCGACGTGCATTTCTTGAACGAAATTTTCTTACATTATAAAGAAGGCATTGTACAATAAACTCGTCGGTTTTGCTGATACAGTTTTCATTTGTAAAAATGCTTTTCATCTGTACTTCGTTAGTTATTGGACACATTTGTACGAGTCCGCGTTGTATGTGCTTTGCTGTGTTTATTTCTTGTTAAGAATTTCCTATTAGTGCCTAAGTTTCAATAATTGTAAAATGGGGCGCGGAAGGCCAAAAAGCATTTTATTTTCTAATAACGACGTCTTAAAATTTTGTAAAGAAAGAAATGTTTCTACGGACGAATTGCTTAAGTGCAGTGTAGTGCGCCAACATGATTCATTGTTAGGACATTTCTGTGCATTTTTG